CAGTCTAGTGTGAGCAATCGGAGCAAACACACCTCTGAAGATGCTAGCCACTCGTGCTAGCGAAACGTTAGGAAGCAATTCTAACCGACGACGGCCTAATAACCCGAAAAACCAAAATTCTTCAAACGATGGCCGCGAAAGCCTAAACTACTACAATAAATATATTGTTTGTCACTTTTAAATTAAGATTCATCTCATAAATCCATCACAATCTGGCAGCGCTGAACAGAAAAATTATAAATAGGGAGACACTTAAATGAGGTCCCTGTACCCATTATAATAAATACAAGAAGAAGTGTCAAGTCAATGTTAAATTATGGAAACAGCGTGGCTGCCTGGGTAACTAATTTTCAGATATGGCGGCTGGGACATTTGACATGACATAGACATGACAATTTCAATTTTATGAAATTTATTTCCGTTTCCGGTTTTTAATGGCGGGCTGTTCAGGAGGTTTAAATGAGGGTTAATATACTTTTTACTCTTTCTAGTAGTAAATAATACAACAAAATTACTCAAAAATATTTATTTGGAATTTAGAACAATGTAAATATGCAAATCAACACAATTAAAGAGCTATAAACCAATAAACTACTGTATCAATATTAAATATTTAAATAATATCAGAGATGCTGTGTTAAAGCGAATTAGTAAAGTAACAGTGCATTGACTTACAGAAACTTGAAGATAAATAAATGTTTTCACAGCTTCACGGATAAATAACTGGAAGCAGGAAAAAGGCAACCGGAACCCACACAAAACCTGGAATCAAAAAAAATATGTAAAAAATATAAATATAGGTACCTACATAAGACTTTTGTGAATTAAATCAAACAGGACTTGAATGAAAATAAAATGAATAAAAAATATGATACATATACATCTAATACCTCATTTGTATTTTAAAAATAATCTACATACATAGATTTATAGCATTATTGCTATGAAAATACATAATAGGTACCTATGTGATATGTAATTACGCATTTCTGTTCATCTTGTAGAAATTTAACGTAGGCTAATAATAGTTCAATAATCATAATTTACCTTGTATAACTTGCTTTCAATTGCTCAAAATCACCGATCAGTCTTTAAAGTAGAGATACGGAAAAATCCTTGAAAGAATATCCCAAGATCCTTGGGTTTAAAGCTAAAAAAATATAAAAACAGTTAATATATTACCTATTTTTACCTATAATATGGCCCATACCTGCTACACGCCGAAACGTCGATTTCATCATTTTCTTCATGTAATTAATATCATATATACTTTATTAAAGTGTTAACAAGGAACTTTATACCAAAAAACATCTTTGTACTTATAAATTTCAGCCGAAATATCAGAAACAAACTTCCAATCAAATCTAAACGGCAAAAATTAAAATGGCGCCCGACCTTGCCAGAGGCCTCGGGAGCTGACGCTGACACACAGATAAAAGACAAAAGAACAGGACGCCGACGTGCATAAAAATGTTCCGTAGCAGAAATTGACAGAAATCATATAGAAATATTCAGATTTTTTTCTAGGACAGTCTAGAAGGCCATGCTTTCTGCCTGGGTAGAACCGCGCCACAACTGTTTCCAATTTTCCGGTTTACTGTCACCCCCCTGCCTGTACCTACTTCCTCTTTTGGATCAATCAATCATAGCTAAAATAAAATTCTTGACACATTCTTTAAAATTCTTCTCAACCTTTTAATTTTTGGAAATGTTGACATGTTTAATCCTTCGTTACTCTGAGTAACATCTCAGCTAATCTCTTCTTTCTACCTACCGAAAATAATGGGTTTGTTTTTATACAGGGCCCAGCAGCTCCAATCCAATTACAACTGGGTTCGACTCGTGTGCTTTGGCCGAAAAAAAAACTTTCTATGTCGAGATCAATTTAAATCTGATTACAATTCGATTTGGGTGGTACCCGATCAGACTTGGATTTTTTGGTGGTAGGCTTTGGGATTTTTTTTTGTTATTTAGGCCTCCTTTAATTGGAAATACCATGGGATTTGTATGACCAAAATTTGTTCAGATTGTTTTGAAAATGTCATACTCATACACGAAATGTTTTAGGATACGTTCTTCATTATAATAAAACAGATGGATGTCATTTACAAGGTTGACAATTATAATAAGGGCCGGCAAAGGTTAGTTTTGGGTCGAGATATCCGTATGTAAGAAGAGTACAATGCGTTTATAAGGTATAGTCTGTGAAACGAATAACTTTGAATTTGACAGTTCCCGCGGGCTTTTCTAGTGTTAATTTTATTAGGTTAGCAAAGGGTTAGCAGGGTTAGCAACTTGCGGCCATGTTCACGCAATGCCGTCTCTAATAGAACAGCCTCGGAGCGAGATTTATGACGTCATGCTATTAATCCCTAGTTAGATACTAGGGATTAATAAATATGTTAAAAAAAATAGTGTCGAATATAATCCAAAAAATTACATATAAAATATTCACAACCTAACCTAACACCACAAATGTTTACTGCAATTAATACAATTAATAAACTAATATAAACTTGTCAAAAGATGACCACATATTTTTTAAAATTATTATTCTCAACACTAAAACTATCTACATTGACTATGGAGTACGATTTCAGCAATAGTCAATGTACCTATTCATTATTTGTATATTGTAAAACATTTCCTGCATTTGTATGGTTAAAAAGGTACTAAAACTATCTACATTGACTATGACTGAAATCGTACTCCATAGTCAATGTATAGATAGTTTTAGTGTTAAGAATAATTTTAAAAATATGTGGTCATCTTTTGACAAGTTTATATTAGTTTATTAATTGCAGTAAACATTATGTGGTATGTGGTGTGAATATTTTTAATATGGAAATTTTTGCATTATATTCGACACTATTTTTTTCATATGACACAACACTGATGGAAGCTATAATGTTAGCCGAAACGTTTTTACCTAAATAAAAATAGGTTGGTTTTAACCAAATAAAAATAGTAAAAACCCAAATGAAAACTTAATCAGCGTTTTTGCCGAACCTAAATCCTAAGAATATCAAAAATTTTAGAATAATTTTACATATAAAATGACAGCTATCTTTATTTCATAGTCATCGCTGACGCTTTTTTTCTATGATATTGTATTATTTGCAAATATAATTTTTCGAACATTGATACTTGCAAAATATACATATAAATTTTGTGAATGCAAATAATAATACATCACTATTAGTAGATATTGAATGTTAAATTATATCGATTTTCAAACCCCAAAATTTAAAATATATTTTACATTTTACCCCTTATCTTATGTACCTATTCATTATTTGTAAATTGTAAAACATTTTATGCATTTGTATGTTCATAGTTTATTTGCCAAAGTATTTATTACGATAAATAGGTATATATATTGTATTTATTAACTGTATATTATGTATATTTCATGTAAAATATATCATTTTTAAAATACAAACCAAAAATATGAGGAATAATTATGTTTTCCATGTATTCTATAACATATTTATTAATTAATCCGTAGTATCTAACTAGCGTGACGTCATAAATCTCGCTGCGAGGCTGTTCTATTAGAGACGGCATTGGTCTGATATTTAAAAATGTCAAAAGCTGATGACATTTTACTTTTGACAATTATAACATTTCGTGTTGATTTTTGCAAGAAGAGGAAGAACTGTCACTTGTTTTATTATTTTCCTTTTCTATTTCACGAAAGTAAAAAGAGTTACCTATCTGATTCGTTCAGGCACTCAATTTAAAGAATATCAGTAATTTTTTTGATAGAGGGATTTTATTTTTGCCATGTTGGTAAAAAATAACGGTCAAAATTCAAAGTTATTCATTTTATAGACTACTATACTAAACAAAGAGAGAACAGTAAAAACGTTGCCAAACGTATGAAATAAACCGAGAATCTGTGCACATTGCTAAGAGACGTGGAAGAGGATACAGAAGATTCTTCGCGGGCGACCGGTCGACCCATAATGTTATGGGTCTATGTCGTCTAAATTCGAGTCGTCTATGGGTCGACCCAATCAGTGCATAAAATTCTAGAGAATGGTGTATATCATGCGTTCAGCTTCACGATTTAATTACGTCTCGTCATACTTTATTTGTTTATTTATTAACAAGTCGTTGTAACTTTCGTAGTAGAATTATCAGTAGTAGAAATACTTGCACTTTTGGTAAAAATAAGTGGAATTAAGTTGGTGTTCGACAGTGGTCGCGCTATTAGAACTCAAAAATCGATATCACGTAATTCATTAGAAATAATTGATTGTAGTTTTTTTTCAAATACTTTCTTAATATTTCTGCTATATTTTCTTCGCCGACAGTATGTGAATATCTTTACAATTAAAAAAGTTACACGATTGCTGAAAATTGCTATGCACTAAAAGTAAATAGACGGGTTTTTAAAAAAATTGAATGGAAAAAACAAGCCTATCGAATTTTTCTCATTTGTAAAGATCAGAACCCATTTTCTCTTGTAAAAGATCAGAACTTCAAAATAAAAAAAAGTTTCAATATCTAAAATGGTTCTTGAGTTATCGCGTGTTTTGTGTTAAAAAAATTGAGTTTTTAAATTATCGCGATAACTGACGTACTTTCGTTATAAAAAGTATGGCCACCTTAAGTATATCTTTATAATTCCATTTCAGATGCTCAGAAACATATAATTTTATCTAATTATCTTTTCAAAAAAAAAGTCTTTTTAAAATAAGCGGTTTGCGATCGTGATTTTACTTTACTTGATAGGGAAAGGCGTGCCGGAGAAATGTGACAACGCCGTAACGTCACACCGTAGCTTTTATCTCACTCTCACTTAATAAGATTCATATGCGATTTACTTCCACACATGTAAATATATATCGACACAAACGTAAGAGTTGTCAGCACGGTATAACGACCCAAGACTCGCTGTTGACATAGTGTACGATTAAAAATTCATTATAATCTAATAGGTATTTAATAACCTAATAAAAACATCAATTTTTAATGTGCATATTTTGTTTCAGAATTCCGATTATAAGAATAGAAGACGACTTTCAACCCCTAGTCCTAGTCCAACAAGGCAACCTTCAAGGAAAACCACGTCTGAGATAAGCCACAACAACAGCTGGTTCAAATCTTTGGACAGAATTACCAGACGAAAATCTAATAAGGTAAGAAAAATTTAAATAGTAGTGTTCAACAACACTACTATTGTGTTTTATTAGGCATATACCTATCAGTCGAGTCTAATGATTTTTAAGGAATTTGTAACTAGATTATTTGAATTTTTAGTTTTTTTTTTCGGTCAGTAATATATCTGACCGTTTTAAAGGAAAGAAAGAATAAATAAAGGATAAAATAAAAAATAAAGGATAATATAAAAAATAATGATTAAACAAAAAAAAAATGTCAGGCAGAAGACATTTTACTGCATCATTATCTCTTTGAAATAATGCAGTAAAAGTTATATTTTTGAAATAAAATGAAATCTTGTTACCTGATTGCTAATAAGTTACATTAACATATGTAAAAACATGAATAAATAAAAAAATATTAGACAATACAATATTAGACTGTTCAATTGTTGTTGCTCTGCCAAACAGATAACCATCGCAGAGGGTTCAACATAGTTCTAACAGGAGCAAGCCTATCACATGCAAGCGCAATACGCATTGCTTTATTTTGTAACAATCTGCAGTCTGCAGATATCTTTACTGTAGTACGAAATCAAAAGTGAACTACAACATAATCTACCGCTTTCAAACAAACATCTCATCTTGTTTATTATTTCAGGCGGAAAAAGATACAAACTACACCAGCACAGAAGAAGAGACGATAGTAGCCCACAACAAATTCTCCAATTCGAACAAAAACTTGAGGTTCTTCGGCGATACCGACCAAGAATCCAACGGTGATAGTTTGAGAGGTTTAAGAACACCCAAAGCCAGACCTGGCCTAAGAGCTCAGTCGACCAGGGACCTCCATAATATTTCTGAGGAGGTCCAAAGAAGCACCAGGAGACCAGAAACTTTACATAAGTCGTTGACGAATATTTCAGAAACCGATAGGTAAGAATTTCTCTCATATCATATACTAGCGTGTACCCGCGACTTCGTTCACGTCGAATTAATCATTTGTAATGGTGATGATAAAGCAAAGCAAGAATTTCCATTGACATACAAACTGGATAAAATTTTCTCACATTTATGTCAGCATGAGAAAAAACAATATAGATATTATTATATAACTATAACTAGGTAATATTTGATGGGTAGTTTCATCTCGTTGGAATTTGACTTTCGAAAAATCCGTTTGCCAAAAATAAGCTTTTTACGTCAAGTGGTTTAAGCAGAATCGTGGTTAATCAATTACCCTACTTTTTGGAACACCCTGTATGATTTTATAAAAAAATTCAAAATATGTAAAGAAACAAAATAAATTATGCGTGTCCAAGTGTTTTCCGGAAAGACTAACCGTTTTTCGTTCACCCTCTTGGAATTTGAGATTCGAGAAACCCCTCCTTATCGAACCTCTACACCCCACAGTCAGTCCGTTTGCCAGAAAATCAGCTTTAAACGTCAAGCACTTTAAGCAGAATCGTGATTACTCAATGGTCATATTTTATGAAACACCCTGCATAAATTTTTAAAAAATCTTAAAATATGTAAAACAACAAAATAAAATATACGTGTTTAAGAGTTTTTCCGAAAAACTCACCGGTTTTTAAATAAAAAATATTCTAATAGGGATGGTTTCACCCCCTTAGAATTCGAGTTTCGAAAAATCCCTTTTTATCGAACATCTACACCCTAAAGTCAATCCGTTTTCCAAAAATCAGTTTTTTCCGTTAAGCGCTTTAAGCAGGATCGTGATTAATCAATGATCAGATTTTTCGAAACACCCTGTATACATTTTTAAAAAATCTTAAAATATGTAAAAAACAAAATAAAATATACGTGTTTAAGCGTTTTTTCGGAAACTTGGCCGTTTTTTAAATAAAAATTATTGTAATATTTGAGGGGTGGTTTCACCCCCTTAAAATTCGAGTTTCGAAAAATCCCTTTTTATCGAACATCTACACCCTAAAGTCAATCCGTTTTCCAAAAATCAGTTTTTTTCCGTTAAGCGCTTTAAGCAGGATCGTGATTAATCAATGACCAGATTTTTCGAAACACCCTGTATACATTTTTAAAAAATCTTAAAATCTGTAAAAAACAAAATAAAATATACGTGTTTAAGCGTTTTTTTGGAAACTTGACCGTTTTTTAAATAAAAATTATTGTAATATTTGAGGGGTGGTTTCACCCCCTTAGAATTCGAGTTTCGAAAAATCCCTTTTTATCGAACCTCTACACCCTAAAGTCAATGCGTTTTCCAAAAATCAGCTTTTTACGTTAAACGCTTTAAACAGGATCGTGATTAATCAATGACCAGATTTTTCGAAACACCCTGTTTCAAACATTTTTAAAAAATCTTAAAATATGTAAAAAACAAAATAAAATATACGTGTTTAAGCGTTTTTTCGGAAACTTGACCGTTTTTTAAATAAAAAATATTGTAATATTTGAGGGGTGGTTTCACCCCCTTGGAACTGGAATTTCGAAAGATCCCTTCTTATCGAACCTCTACACCCTAGAATCAACTTGTATGCCAAAATTGAGCTTCTTTCGTTGAGTGGTTTGAGCAGGATCGCGTGATTAATCAGTGAGTCAGTCACTTAAGGATTTTATATATTAGTATAGACGACAAGGTTACTCATATACGTGTTATTATCTCCAGAGACCTAAAGGGCAGTAGAAGCAATCTAAAGCCTCCTATATCTCCCAGCCCGAGATATAGAAGAGAGGAGAGGCCCAGGAGAAGGCGGCAAGATATCAGCTCGGTGGAAAGCTCCACAGAGGGTGATAGCAGCCAGCAGTCGCAGAGAAGCATCGTATACCTACATGCAGCTACAGGTACGCTACACAGCCAACTCTTTTACAGTCTTTTTCGATAAATCGCTATAGTGTCACTGTTAATTTAAGTTCTGCTACAATTTCCTTCTAGATTTACTACCTTTAAACAACTATCAGCAGTAGAATAAGTAATAAATAACATAAAATAAGCTCAGTAAAGACTTACAAATCCACAAAATTTCAAATCAAATTCAAATATAATTTACCTTTTTTTAAATATTAATATACAAATTAAACAAAGCAAAAAATTAGGTAAAAGGGACTGTGTCGCGATTATAAAAAACCGATATACAAAACAATAAATGTTTTTATGTCGCACAGCCCCGTAGATATTCAAAAATATACAGGGTGTCCCAGAAATAAGTGCAAGTATTTTAAGGGGTGGTAGATCTCGATAAAGGAAACATATTTTCTCTTTATCGTTTTTCAAATAAGTACAAAATAACGGAGTTATTTTATTTTGAAAATTTCCAAAAAAAAATGATTTTTTGCTAAAATTTTGAGAACCACTGGATCTTTTCTGGATTTTCTTTCTTGTAAATTTAATCTAATACCTATGTTGTCATATTATAAAGAAATTATGATTTTTAACTAAAAACTAAAAAAAATCCAAAAAATTTCGAATTTTCAATTTTTTTTTCACGAAAAAAAACTCATAGGCGTGTTTCTGGCGCTGAACTATACTACCAGTTAAAATGCTTGCACTTATTTCTGGGACAACCTGTATAAATACATAAATGATATAAAGATTGATGGAAAAAAATATAAAATAAAATACAAAAAATGTAATCAAATATAAGGAAAATCAGAGAAGAAGGGGATGCAATCAACGGGTATGACCAGGGGTAAGGCTAGGGCACCAGGGAAAAGTTAAATTAAATTAAAAACAGGTTATTATTATTATAAAATTAAAATTAAAATTAGGCAGGCAGGTTAGTCACTCGTTTAAATTTCTAGAGGTTTTTTTTTTGATTTTCTAAATATATAGACTTAAGGATCCCTACCCTAGGACTCCGCCTCCGTCTACCATGCATGGATAAATGGATAGCATTATTCGCCTTCCTTCATCTTTTTATTCAAAGGTTTTCACCCTTTTGATAACTTATTTTTAGGCTAGGACAAATCGATGCGTATCATCTTCAGTTTCATAAAAAAGTACTATAATGATGTGAAAGCCGCATCTTTGTATCTTTATGCATATAAATATACCTATAGGGGGATAACCTGTACATTCACTAAACTCTTCTACCTTTCCAGTGGGAGACATCCCAGGCCCCGACTACCTACGCCACGGCAGCAGGCGCGCCGCCTCCCGCGAGGACCTCACCTCCAACGGCGGCTCAAGCAGCCTGGTGCAGCCCCAGGTCAAGACGCTGTCGCGCTCCTTCAGCGTGCTGGCGCCCTGGAGGCCGAGGCACCGACGCGAGGGCTTGGAGCTGGACTACGCGGCGCAGGCGCCTACCCCTCCTGCCAGGAGGGGGAAGTACGAGCAGAGAGCGACGCGGAACGGCGGCGGTGGGGGTACGAGGAGTACGGACGGGTCGACGCTGAAGCGGAGGACGCAGCAGGAGCAAGGGAAGAAGTTGGGGAGTAAGGGGAGGAGTAGGAGTAGGGAGAACGTGTCGGGGAGGGAGGATGTGCCGAGGGGTTAGTAATAAACAATAACCTAGTAATTATTTTTTTGCTACATTTTTGAAATGAGATTATACTAATAGAGTTGTTAATTTTTAATACATCTACTTAAGAAACCAGAAAGCTTATAGGTATAGGAACATGATATATCATTGAAAAGTTATTTTATTAGTCTATTGATTTTTTAAATAACATACATAGGGTTGAATTTTAAAACAACAAAGATTTCAGTAATTTTTGTTAGGAATTTTTAAATCTTGAACCTCGTATCGATATATTCTTAAAATTATTTTTTTTTGGGACATTTAGGTTCCGAAAACACTGAAATTATGTTTTCATCTTGTTTAAAAAAACTCTATTTAGTCTACAGGGTGCTACAAATTCGAGGTACGAGCATTGGTGTCTCGGTAACCGTAATCGATACGAACATGGTTAAATTGGGGCAAAGTTGCATTTTAGTATGTTCACCAAGATGCTATCAAAAAAGTTTTAAAAATTTCAAGAATTGCTGAGTTGCACATTCTCATAGCCACTTTATTAGGGCTATCTGATAGTATTTTTAGATTTTAAAGTTAGCTGATAATTCGTTAGATACATAGGTCAACTTATTTCTTTTAAATACGGACCTGCATTTTTTATTTCAGATTTTGAAATAAGTCGGTCTTCTGAGTACAGTGATATGCCACATTTGATATTTTTTTGTTGTTTTAGGTACCTCAACAACAACAAAAGTATTTAATTATTATTTAAAATAATTTCAAGTCCGACTCTGGTTTTTTAAATTATTTAATCTGATTACATTCATCGCAATTGATCAGCGCTAACTAACATTGAATAAGGAAAATTGAGCCAATTGGAAGATTTAAATAAATAATATCCAGATCAACAATTTAAAGATATTATTTTTAACCTTTTTATTGTGAATTTGAAATCTGCAAAAAATGCATAATATAATAATAAATCGACTTCTTTAAACGAGTTGGCCGTTATACTGTTCTACCATTTCCAATCCATATTCCGGGAAAATGATTGTTTATATTATATTTCTATTATTTTTTTTTATTGTTTTATTGCATTTGATTTTTGGTATTAAATGTTTTACCCCACGTCATTGTTAAGTTTGAAAGCTTATTAATATTGTAACGATGAATAGATTAAATATTTAAAAAAAAAGCCGGACTTGAAATTAGTTTAAATAATTTGTGTTCAAATGTCCGAAACAAAAAAAAAATAACACCGACCGACGTCTTTCAAAATCTGAAATAAAAAATGCAGGTCCGTATTTAAAAAAAAATAAGTTGGCCTCTGTATCTCACAAATTATCAGCTAATTTGAAAATCTAAAAATATTATCAGATAGCCCTAATAAAGTGGCTATGAGAATGTGTAATTAGTTTTTAGATTTTCTAAAAAATAACGACAGGAAAAAATAAAACTGATTTTCAAAAAAATCAGTTTTTTCTAAAAAACTCAGCAATCCTTGAAATTTTTAAACTTTTTTGGTGACATCTTGGTGAACATCCTAAAGCGTAAATTTGCCCCAATTTAACCATGTTCGTATCTATTCTTCTGTATACACAAACGTTTCGGCCCACAATACAGCCTTCATCAGTGATACAAAGAATTTATAAAAATGTGTTGTTTTTCTCTTTTTCTTGTACAAATTTATATTGTTCGAAAAACTTTAGTGAAAATCATGTCATTGTGCTGTGATAGATTGTCTGTTTTTGGATATTAATTTTTGTAATTTTTTTATGATACATGTAACACTGATGAAGGCTGTATTGTGGACCGAAACGTTTCTCTATAGACTAAATAAAGTTTTTTTAAACAAGATGAAAACATAACTTCAGTGTTTTCGGAACCTAAATGTCTCAAGAAAATTAATTTAAGGATTTCAGTAATTTTATAACAAAATAATGTAGTAGTTCTATGTCCACGGAATATTGGGACACCTTGTATATTCTCCCGTTAGATAAACTAAGTCGTTCCAGGATATCTAGCTGGGTATTGAATATGGTGTTGCTCTAGTAATACTAATTAAGATAATATTTACTTTATAAAAAAGGACCGATCAAACAATTTTACTTACTTACAAATCTTCTTAAACTTTTTTTTTTCTATTTCGCAGGTTCCACGGCAACATTATACAAGAAGAAAGACAAACTCCCTAGGGAGAATTCCCGCTACAACAATCGGGAGGAACGCCGCATGCCATCCTCGAAAAGCCATTCAGTCGAGTCCATCTCCAGAAGAGCACGAGAAGAAGGCGGTAGAGACGTTTCCAGGTCCGTATCCATGCCGAGGGACACAGCCAAATCGGCAGGATGGTTCAGGAAGAGCAAAAAGTCCGGTAGAGATTAACGTTCTGCTGCCATCAACTCTTAGAAAGTGTACACTGTTATCGATTTATTTTGTACCGCTTTTAATAGGTTACAAGTTTCTTTATTTTTGGAGCTAAAACATTCTTGACTGTTTACTCGAAAACGCATATAATTTGTTATTTTTAATAAATGTACTAGCACAGAAAATACCAGAGTTAAAGCCTATTAACAGTGGGACAAAATAAAATGGCAACACCGTACCGTGCCGCCCCCGGCTGTGATATGCACGCCCTTAGTGTGCCATCGTCCGTCTTGTGACACCTTTTTAGTGTTCTATAGGAAGCCATGTTAAAATTTAACTATAAACACCCCCTAGGTGGTAAAACTCGCTTATAAGAAATTCTATGCAAATGCAAAAAAATCAACCAAATTTATATTTTTGAAGACTGATAATTACCTCCACATAGCATTATAGCCTTCCGCAGCATGATATTAATAAGACAGGAAAATAAATAAATTCGTATCGTACATTCAACCATTATGATAAATTTGAATAATGCAAGATATTATCTTTAACTTCTGTAGACTAGTGCCTCACAATTTCAAATTGTCTCACTCAAATGTTCAATAACGTGAAATCGTTATCATAATATTACAAAATAAAATGGTTAAAGCAATCCACTAATTTTATGCTACATACAAACAACTTACATATGAACACTGTAAGGTACTAAAAATACTGTAGAAATGGTAAGACTACATCCTGTTCTCCTAAAACCTGTTCTCCATGATTTAAAATCTTTATAATTTCTCTATAACTAACAGTTTTTATGTAGTTGAATTAGTTTCAAAATAGTTGATTCAAAAACATTTATTTAAAAGTTTAATAAATAAATGCATATCGTATGTTGCAACATTATGGTTCACTTCAATAAAACAAGAGAATAATGTCTATAGACGTATGTACTTACCTTTATGTTATGCTCTTGTCTGAGTAACTATTTTAAGTACGTAAAGATTTATTCAGAAGCTCGCAATTAGTGGGATAAATTAGTCGTTTCAAACACTTTATACTTTCTAGTTTACGATCATTCACAATGTCTAAAATGTTCCTGAAATGCGCTGAACTCAAACTGAGTTCAAATGAGTAAAAACTGAATTCAAGTGAGTAAAAATTGCAGATTGCCTGCTTATACTTTCCATTTGTCAACAGAAGACACGAAGACTTTTTGAAACTAGTATGTGCAATTCAATTATTCGCCAAAATAATCGCCTAAATAATTATCGCCATTTCAACTTTTGATTCGAAATATAGGTACTTAATTTCAATTTAAACAAACAAATGTGCATCGTACATTGAAAAGTTATGCTAAATAAGGCAATATTATCTTTAGTTTACACTCTTGCCTAAACGACTGTCGCTATCTAAGTAGTTCTTAGTTGTCCATACAACTTCAGTTTTCTTTGGATCAGCACTTCAGATTCATATAAAAGTTATCTTCAAGTTTATGTTGTCTTTTTACTAAATTTTAATTTGACATTTCAGTTACTGAAACTCAAATTCAAATGGATTCTCTTACGAGTCTCTTAACGTTCTGTCTTAAATCTCTAGAACTGTTTAGATTATATTCTAGAATTAACTTTTTATAAACGAGTTTTACTACTGCATAAGAACTAACCCCGTGAAACAAACAAATAATAAAATTAACTCTTTTCCTCCGTCCTATCGTTCGTTAATGGTGCTATATTAGTATTAAGTAGAAAACCCAGTCGCTTTTAAGTTGTAAAATTGTATATAACATTTCTCCTTTTATTGTAAAACTTCTTTTTTTTATATTGAATTTCCTCAAGTATTGGTTTCGGTTAATAAATTAAGATATAAAACGCGCAAAGTATCGCCATCTTTAATTGTAAAACCTCCATTCTTTTATTATTATAATTGTTTGTTACCAAAACGTGACTAGCGCGAAAAAAAACTCTTTTAACGAATGTCTAGTTATTATGTTTTAGAATACGCACCCAACTCTAATGTTTATCCAATAATACTTCTAAATAAAATTGTTAATAACTAAATATTGTGTTAATTTATAGTACCGATCCCTCAATCCATTTAACTAACATATTTTATGAAGTTCAATTAATTTCAAATTATTTGATTCAAGTACTTACGGAAGAAGCTCAATCATATTCAAATCTACAATGCCACTCTACCTAAAGAAGAAAACATTCGACAAATGTGTACCACGTATGCATGCGAAACCTGGATACTTAAAACCCTGGATCATATATACTTGCGTGGATAAGTAAATCAGTATGGAAACTGTCGCAAACATATCAACGACTTCCATTTATCTTCTTTTTTTGTTGCACATGCGGTGCTTCTACTCTATCTATCCTTGTAGAGAACCTATCGTGCACGCGCCAAATTTGAACATTAATTTTAAAAATTTAATTTATAAAATGCATATATTTGAACAATAAATTGAATGTTTACTGGCACAAAAAATAAATTATATAAAGAATACATTTAGCCCCTCCGTACGAATATCAATATTCTTAGGAAATCTAACAAGAAAGTATGCATGGGGTTTAATACAAAAGAACAACTGAATACTTTAGTTGCCTATGAAAAGATAATTCGGAGACCTTTATATTAGAACTTTCACACACTAAACACTTTCTAGTCATTTTTACGAGCATTTAGAAAGTCCAACGAAAAAAAATAGAAATATAGTTGCACAAACTTAAAATTAACTTCTCACTGAACACAGTTGCATCTTTGGCTATATAAAAGCGGTCGATGAAAGAGTCATTAATACAATTTTTAAAATAAAAAACGCAAAAAACAAGCCTCGTTACACAATGGAAATAAAATTATGACATATGATTATGACAATATGATAACAATGAAAAGTTTGTTTCCATAACAATGTATAATTTGTGCTTTCTAAAACAGTATAAAATTATGATTATTTTGAAAATACGTGCAACTTTTAATGCGCATGCGCAAAGTAAGGTCCTCGGAAAAGACAAACGTATTGAAAGTTTCATAAGTGCAATAAAGAAGGTTTGAAAATGGCATGTTGTGATGTTGGAGACATATTTTTTAATATTAGTATTTTAATAAAACACGCTTTTAGATGTATCAAAAAACTTTTAATAAGAGTAACTTTAACTCTACATATATGTTTCGGCTTGTTAGGCCTTTTTCAAGAGTTTTTTAAGAACTAATCGTCTAACTACACTGTAACTATATATATATTTGCTATGGGGGTGGGTTCAGAGAGTTTACAATAGGAGTAATAAAAAATGTGTTTAGAAATCCTTGTTGGTCGTTACATTATTTTCGTTTTTAACAGATTTTAGTATTTCTAACTGTTCAATGTAATTTAAACGTCTACCTTTTGTTTCTCTGTGTAGTAACTTAATTGAGTTTTCATTAATTTTGTGATTATTTACTATACAATGAGTTGCAAGACCAGAACTATGCTGGAGATTATTAATATACTTTACATGTTCTTTAATCCTTATATCTAAATTTCTACCTGTTTGGCCTATGTACACGGCATCACAGTATTGCAATCCACCCTATATACACCCGACTTATTTTTGACATTAGTTTTGTCTTTATTATTTAATAAAATTTGACCTAAATTTCTTTTATTTACGTTAATAGTTTTACATCCTATTTTATTGAGATTATTTGATATTTTGTTAGTTAAATTAGGAATGTAGTTTAAAGGTTGATAATTGTTATTGTCTTTAGAATTAGCGGATTAAAAATTTTTCATTAATATTTTGTTTTGTTTTTTCTTTAGCATATTATCAATAAGGGAACACTTATATCCATTGTTGATGGCGATCTGTTTAATAATATTTAACTCTTTTTTAAAATTCTCTGGGCTCAGTGGAAACATTACTAATCTATGAATTAAACTATGAAAGGGTGACATTTTGATTTGCCAGGATTGGTGTGATTGACTATGTATTACAGTGTCTGTGGTAGTGGGGTTTCTGTAAATATCAAATCGTAATCTATTAGACTGTTTTATAATTGTAACATCAAGAAAATTGATGGTATTAATACCTTTTTCAATAGTAAATTGTATTCTCAGGTTAATTGAATTTAATAATGTTAAAAAACTGTTTAAATTTCTCTCGGTGCCTGACCAAATACAAAAAATGTCATCTACATATCTTGCCCAATAATTTATTTTGATATTAAACTACTCTTGTTTTTAAATAGCTTCTTTTCAAAATCTGCCATAAATATTTCTGCGAATAACGGTGAAATTGGGGAACCCATCGGTAACCCATCTTTCTGTTTAAATATTTCATTGTTATACTGAAAATAGTTTTGTTCTAAACAAGTTTCAATTATTGTTATTAAATCTGATTTGACTATTATATTAAGATTAGATTTATCAATTAGTTCATAAATAATAGAGGACAATTCATGGGTTGGGATAGAAGTGAACAGGCTTTTGACATCGAAAGAAACGAGTGTTTAATGCTTATAACTTATGGGGTTGACTCTTTGGTTGATTTATCCACGTAGTTGTTTCTTTATTCTATGGATTATTAAATTAAATTAAACCAAAAAAATAACATGAAAAATTTTATTTAGAACCTAGTATAAAAACCCTGCCAAATAATAACTAAAAATAGTAATAATTTACAATTACTTAAGTACATATGTATGTAAAGCGTAATAAAATTGTACTGCTAATAACGAGTATACAGGGTGTTTCAAAAAACATGTGTCATTATTTCTCGTGGGGAGATTCCTCACGTAAAAATAATAAGATTTATTTTTCATATCAACGTAGGTCCCATTCTATTATTTATTTCGTAGCTACAGGGTGTTAAAGTTTTAACATTTTTTCGATTTATTATAATTTTCTTCCAAGCATTTTTAGCGTTTCGAATGAAATTTTGAGGGTAAAAGTTACTATAAATGGGACATATTTTAAAGCTACAAAAGTGTCGACAAATTCACCAGGGACCTGCATATGGGTTATCACTAAAATATTTTTCTAAAAAAACAATGTACGCCACTGTCTTGTTTTTCTCTTGTTAGCGAAATAGTGTAAGCAGTTTTATGCCGATTAAAAGTTGTCTCTTGATATTTTGTCGATTTTGGTCACCTTTACGCATTTTTATTAATTTGCCTTGATCCAAGTCTAACAACTTTTAAAAAAATTTAATATCATTAACTTGCAAAACTTTTAAATAAGTACTCGTTGATTCCCCATCAAAAAATATGAAAAAAAGGTCCTATAAACACAGGTATTGAAAGTGCATGCATAGTTTTAGAGTTACAGGATGTTGAAACTTTTTAAAAAAAGTAGGTTTTTTGTAATTACATCTTAAATGCCATTATATTTTATTTGAAATTGCTGTAGGCTGGACTAATACTAATAATAACTAATAGTAATAATATTTAATAACAAATTAGGTAAAATAGATAATTTATTAATTTTATTTTTATTTTAACTTTATTGATTGTGATTAATAAAATTGCGTTTATCTCATCAAGCAGGCCGAATTCGACAAAATATCAAGAGATAACTTTTAATTGGCATTAGATGGCCTACACGATTTTCATATCAAAAGAAAAAAATCAGTGGCGCACGATGAATTTTTTTTTGAAAAATATTCCAGAGATAACCCATATGCACGTCCCTGATGAATTTATCGACACTTTTTTAGCATTAAAATATGTAGCATTTATAGTAACCCTCAAAATTTCATTCGAATCACTAAAAGTACTTGGAAGAAAATTATAATAAATTGAAAGATTATTAAGACTTTAACACCCTGTAGCTACGAAACAAAGCAGAATCAGACCTATGTTGATATGAAAAATAAATTTTATTTTTACGTGAGGAATCTCCCTACGAGAGATGGCACATGTTTTTTGAAACACCCTCTATAAATAGGACGCAAAATATAAGTACAATCGATAAAACACACGCATTAAAATCACTTTTTACAGCACACGAAACACCGTCCTAACCTAAAAAAACCGACCGAACAGCCAGCAGTTTGACTTCCGACTCCAAAACATCGTCCTCGACATACACAAACACTTTAAACCCTTTTTCGTCAGTCTTCTTCGGTAATTTAACCTTAAGTACGACCGTTTGACCCGGACGAAGAACGCCATCTGCCGGAACTACCTGAAGACCCGGCGGAGTCGTACTCACTTCAAATTGTAAGGGTCGCGTAACTTCAGAAACTAAATACAGACAATCTTCTACCTTGTTTGGGGGTAAAAGTACTATGGAGGGTGGTTCTAATCGACAATGGTTTTGTAGTACGTGAGTATCGTTATTTATAACGGTAGATTCCTGACAGAGAGTTTGAAACAAGGCGGAGTCTTCGGGATATTCCGCTACCAAGGTTTGATTAGGATCCTGTTCGATAGTGACAATTAACTCATCCCTAACAAATGTATCTAATAGTTCACTCATTGAACTAGGGCTTTCCTTAAATTTGCTAGCATCTGGCGGGAACACTTCACCAGGAAATCTTCCTTTAAGTACAGTGCACAAAGCATCAACTTCCAAGCCTCTTTCTTCGGCTTTCCTCACGAGTCTTCGTAATCTAGCCCTACTAGATTCTGGACCGGTTACTATCTCGATCTTGCTAATGTCCACGACGGGTACGGCGTTCAGGCTTTGCTTGAGGACGCGACCGTCTTTGGCGCTGGGTGTATAACTGACTTTAATAGTTTTTTCCTCGTTTGGAAGTAGCACGAACAATTCCGGTTCCATTGTTAAGTTTGTTGGCGTGATGAAGGATTTAGGTATTTGTTTTAAATAAGCGAAAGAGGGCAAATTGCCGGTGTTTTTTATAACGAATCCTTGTTCCATTATGACTTTGTTGTCTAGTCTTCCCAGAGATAGCCAATATTTGCCTGAAATATTAAACATGTAGTGAACTAGGAACTGAAATACTTCGATTATAAACTTTATGATATAGTGGTAAAATAAATGTGATTAATTCAACAAAATCAATTAAATATGAATCACAGGAAAATGAGAAAGTTGTCCAATCTGCAAAAAAAGTCAGAGAGAAATTTGATTGATCCAAAATTCAATGCCAAACTTGCTTTCTTCCCGTTTTTTTAATAAAACTCTCAACAATATGATACTTTTCCTGACAAAATTAAAAAAAAAATTAACATATTTTGTATTTTAAATGTTTAGAAACATTTAACGGTTTCGCAGAAATGTTATTCTTTAAAAATATATCAGTCGATATCAAAGAGTAGATAAGACAAGAGACGACAGTGAACAAAGAAGTCGAATTTCGCGAGAGAGACGCAGATATATTAACATTTTAAAGGTCCCATCAAGTCCCATTTTGTCTGTTGCCAAGTATATTTCTTTGAAAAATAAACAAGATTTTCTGAAAATAAATTAATAATATAAGGAGGATATAAGTATCGTATGTTAATTAGTGATGAATGAAATATCGGTAACTGTGACTTTGTCACTGATATTCTATAATCACAGTCACGGTTTGTGACTGATTTGAAAATAAACGGTGACTTGCTAAAGCGTGACGATTACAGTTAATTGTGATTTCTCAGGTAACGAGAAAATACTTCACAGAGCGGGACGTCGCGCGTCGCGAACGCAGCTGCCGATGGCGCCGGTCGTGACTCAGTTCACAGTCACGAGTCACGACGTACCTCTCATAGGATAGATATCTGACAAAGTGATCTAAAGACAGTGACTGTTAGAAGTGATTTAATTTTTTATATATTTTATGACTATTTTTTATCACTACGAATTGGTTTGGTTCCTTTTTAATTTAGCAGTTTTTTTAAAGCCAAACATAAAGTTTTACCTTTATACTGTTTAGAAACTTCATTTTTTATATATTTCGTTTATTTTAATACAAAGGAAAATATTTGTTGTTTAATGTATTACTTATCTCGTGTTGTTAAGTTTCGTTCGTTATGGTTATGAGCATATTGCATATTTTATTCTTTTCCCGTTGGTTTCTTTTAATAAAAAAATTGTTTTATTTTTATTTTTTAATATACCTTTTACCCACTGTTTAGTGTTTTCTATTTCAGCGGTCTTGGATAAAGGACAAATAAAAATTAGTATAACAACAACAACAGAATCGTATCATTCGTATCGTATCTTATATTTTAGCCGTGATTGTGCTTTCGGATTCATAATCATAAAGTCGCAGTCACAGTTAAGAGTCACAGATAATACAAAGTCGCTGTCACAGGTAAGCCTGTGAACAGAAAATCACGGTTTTTGATCGTTTTTGCTCATCACTAATGTTAATACGGAAATGTAAATTTTTAGTTTAGGTTGGTTTAGGTTCTTTTTTCGCAATGTACTGATAAATCAAAGAAACCGAATGACTAAAAGTTGATCGATTTCAAAGATAAACAGATAAAATCTGAAAATCTGACAACGGCGTATTTTATTTATTCTAACCTATGATTTTAGGACGCTAATCAGCGGTGCTAATCAGGCTTAAACATAAACAAATCTGATTAGTTGTTTTCTTGCATTTTTGCCTTTTTAAAGTGTGTTTTCAGAGTTTTTCGATATATTATCGTTTTGAGAGTTTTTAAGGTTTAATTTTAGTATCGTCTTTGTTGCGTACTAATTTGTAATTATTGTTAAATATGAATACTGAACAGGACACGACTAGCAGAAAAAGACGAGATGGTGGCAATGTGTGTGCTTATAAAGACTGCAAAAATAGGTCTTATTCTTCGACAAACATAATATTTCACTCTTTTCCAAAGGATCCTGAAAAGTATTTTTAGAGAAATATACTATATAATTATGTTATTAAACTAAATGTAATCCATAGATCGAAGACACGGTTAGAAGCTTGTAATATGTTTTTACAAAAAAAATTGAGCAACTCTATTTTTTTGTACATACCACATTGGGATATTACACTTGTTCAAGTTCTTATGTAAAAAAATACACGTAAATAAAATATTTCTTACAAATCGACTTGGCCACTTTATCTTGTTTACCAACGATATACAAAATATTGCTTTTATTATCTTTATTCCCCGACAAATATGTTTCTTATTATAATTTATTTTATATAATATTTAGAAAACTCATTTTTTTTTTCGTTTCTATTTATTTCTTTACCCATTCAGTAACTATTTAAAAGCTATACAGGCAAGTTTTAATAATAGTCTATTTCAAATTACCCGCGAAAAAATTACGAAAATTTAAAGGGACAAGCGAGACAAGGTCACTCTCCCCACCACTCAAACATGAAAGGTACCGCGCGAACTGTCGCTCTTGTCTTATCTACTCTTTGTCGATATCAAGAAAATGTATGCGTTTCATTTAACCTTTAAAAATTAAATCAACTTCACAGAATTTAAATAAATTACCTGTATTATCTCTAACTGCATTCTGGTATTCTACATTAGAATATCCGCCATAACCCCATAATTTCACACATTGTTTCTTTGTCTGGGACAGATTGGAATCCAAAGGACTAAAAGATAACTCATCCAAAGCGGCTCCAACTTTCGTAGGTATATAGGAAACTATAAGTGGTCTGGATTCGTGACCATGCAAAACAAACTTGCAGGCACTCAAAAAATCAGAATCTGACCTATTATCTTTCCTTATTTTGAATTCATAGGATGACAGAGAGCATTGTAATCTCAAAGTTTTAGGTGTTTTGTTTCTTATTAGGAATTCCTTTGTTACACACCTAGAAATATAGATCTTTTATAATTAAAAACAGATCAGGAAAATATGCAATTTCTATAAAAGTTTGACATTATTTCCTTTTTAAGATTTCTACTCTTTTGACAAAATATACGGACACAACTAGCATACATTTTAAGACAGCTATAGTCTGCCGAACCAAAAAACTATAATAAACCGAAAAATTATTAAGAGTTTAACACCCTGTAGCTACGAAAAAAAGCAGAATTGAACCTATGTTGATTTGAAAAATAAATCTTATTTTTACGTGAGGAATCTCCCCACGAGAGATGGCACATGTTTTTTTTTGAAACACCCTGTATATTTTTACTAGGCATTAATCATAGAACTTAACAACTTGTTACCCTGCAAGGTTTATACATTTTGTAGGGAGCAGTTAGACCTACTATATTGTAAAATCCTAAAATTAAAATCAAGTGTTTCACATGGCCTCTTCATATGCATTAAGCTTAAGTGAAATGATTAAGAATATAATCTAAGAAATGAACTTACCGATCCACTTTTACAGAACCCCAAACCAGTTCACTCTTAGTACTCTCGATGGGCAACTTTCCATTGGGTAAACTTGTGAGTGAGCTGGAACTCCTAGAAGGTGGTGATATCAGTGTTTTCATACCACCAGTACTATGCATATTGGATAATAAACCTGCTGTAATAAACCTTTGACTTTTATTCGGTTTCATATTTTCTTTATCTTCCTTTACAGCAACTACAAATAGAATTTATTACTCAATACATGTACAGGGTGGGTCAAATTCGGCGCTTTTAAATGGAAACACCCTTTTCTATAGGAGATAGACAAAAACTAATATCGGTGTCTGGAGCTCAATTTTTGTCAAAAACATGATAGTGAAAACCGCATATCGATATCTGTTACCGTTTCGGAGTGACGGGGTGTTTTTCAAAAATATGCATATTTAGCAAATTGCTGTAACTTTTTTGCTATGGAAAATTTTGTATTTTTATGAAAACATTTCCAAAGCACCTTTTTTCGTAGAATTTAATGGTTTAAGTATAATTTTTTTAAAATTAATAATTTAAGTATTATCGACAGAAAATTTGATTTTTTATATAGGACACCCTGTAGATTTTTAATTTATTGAAAAGAATTTAAAATTACCTTTCAAAAAATATAACACACTTGATATTTTGCTTGATTCCTCTTCGAGATATAGAGTACATAAAGATTCGCACGCTTTAAATAAGAAGGCTTAGAACGGCACCGTATAAATGGCACTGTGTAATGCAAAAAAATTCTAGCTGTGAGCATCAATTAAAACGAAAATAATATTTGCTATGAGAGATGCAGAATTTTATAACAATTTAAAATATATTTAACCAACATCAACACATTTAAACTATATCTAATAACAATAAAAATAAACAGCAAACCAAGACATGAGATTTTGCTACAGGTGTTTGGATATGTCGACTGTTCGGATATGTCGACAGTCTTCTGTTATGGACACACGGAGCAGTTTTTGAACATTTCTCGCGGAATTCATTAACTCAGTGGGGGTGAAAGATGCCCTCTCATAACTGCTAAGTATTTATAATTCTTGTCTAGATTATACGGAAGAATAAGGAACCTTTATTCTTTCGAAAATATATCCATAGGATTAGATCCATGGGCAGATAGTCAGGCGGCCTCGACGGCCAACGTCTGGGATCTTGCTATTCAATTATTCTTGAAATTGGCTGCAAAAATTTGCTGATAACTTCAGCGTTCAGAGGCGGTGCATCGTCTTGCTGGAAAAATATGTTTTCGAGTTCCATTAAGGGCATATCATCAATAAGGGGTCCAAAGCCTTCTAGTTAAAAGTGGCGAACTTTTAAAAAATTCTGTATTTCGAAAGGGATTATAACAAAATATCAAATGTGCTATAATTTTGGAAAGGTAATTTTAAATTCTTTTCAGTCAAATAAAAATATAGAGGGTGTCCCAAATATAAAATCAATTTTTCTGTTGATAACTCTTAAATTATTAATTTTAAAAAAATTATACTTAAACCATTAAATTCCACGTAAAAAGGTGCTTTGGAAATGTTTTCATAGAAGTTCAAAATTTTCCATAGTAAAAAAGTTTCAGCGATATGTTAAAAATGCAAATTTTTGAAAAACACCCCATAACTCCGAGACGGTAACAGATATTGATGTGCGGTTTTCACCGTCATGTTTTTGATGAAAATTGAGCCCCAGACACCGATATTAGTTTTCGTCTATCTCCTCTAGAAAACGGTGTTTCCATTTAAAAGCGTCGAATTTGACCCACCCTGTACAACAGTGCGTTGGGTATTTGTAGCTCCTATAATAAAAAAACTTAGGAATTTTGTTTAAGTGCAGACTTAAAGTATGTACTAATATATATTTCATGAAATATTTTAACTGCTACAGAGTGGCTCAAAAAAGTAGCTGTGAGAGGATTGGGGTGATCTTTTTTAAATATACACCCTGTATATAGTTGCATTTTTGGCTTCCTTTCTTACCACTTTACATAATCCTAAGATATTATTAAATATGTTTTAATAGTTTCAGAGATATTAATAAATAAAAAATAATCATTTTTCAGCCTTTTTAAAACCAAATTATTAAAAATACAAGAAATGTCCTAAAATCAAAATTATACTAGATACTTACTGTAGTTAGTCTATACTTACTTGGCGATAAATATCGCACTCTTAAATCATACAGAGTGTTCAAAGGCTACAGATGAGTGTTCAAGAGTCTACGCCAAACTTAACTTTAAATACAAAAGAACATATTTTGTATTTAAAGTGTATCTAAATGTTTAACAGTTTCACAGATATTCGCGATATTATATTACCTACTTATGGCTTTTTCAACAGTGAATTTTTATCAAAGCCACCCAATGATTTTTGTCTGATATTTTACCGTTAAAAGATCCAAATGAAGAATTAAAAATTTTAAAAAACTTTAAAGACAAAAAATTTTCATTTTGTAATTATCTATCTCACAAAAAAATCCTTCAAAATTATTTTATATGTTAGAAAGTTTGGCATTTTAAACACCCCGTATGATTTAAAATTACTATGTTTATAATAAAGCTACATACATATACATAATACAGACTAGCTATAGTAAGTACCTAGCATAGTTTTGATTTCAGGACCACATCTTATATTTATATTAATTTTTTTTAAAAATGCAGAAAATATTTTTTGTGTCATTTATTTCTTTATAGCTCTAAAATTATAAAAAAAATAATTATACTTTAGAACTATGTACCTAAAGTAATTAAGAAGCCAAAAATACAATAATATACAGAGTGTTCCATTTTAAACAAATCATCCCGATCCACTTACAATTTTTTGAGTCACCCTGTATAAGTTTGAATATTTTTCCTAAAATAGGCTCTACTATATCCTTTCAGTACGCACTTAAACAAAATTTCTAAGCTCTTTTTTATAGGATCCTTCTACTGTATATTTATTTCAAATGATAAAAACCAACTTTACCTCTAATGGCTTCATTATCTGACACAGATGTGGTATAAGAACTATTCCTACTGACAGGCAAACTATAAACATCACTAGAGAACTCTTTATTTCCTAGACCTACATCTCTCGTAGGCTTTTCTTTCTGATTTAACAGGTAATTTATCACCTTGTTTGGCGTTTGATCGGTCTCAGATAACATTTGTTGAATAGCACTAATACTTAAACTTTTTGCGCTATCGTTTGTTTTATCCTTTTCCGGATTTACAATATTATTATCAGAAATATCTTGATTACCGGTGAGATTAAAAGAATTTAGCAAAGCCAACGGTTCGAATTTTTGAGGGCTTACTGATTTTTTAAAGTCAGTTATAGCATCCGACCTCTGCTGGAAGAATTCTCCAATTGACATTGATGGTTCCCTGATATCCTCGAAAGTAGTAAAGTTCTCAGCCATGGGCATTTCATTCTTTCTTTTCCAGGACATTTCATCAGCTAACAATTTCGATTCAGCCTCCTCTGCAGGTACAAACATACCACTGTCTCCTTCTGGATGTTCAATATCAATTCTACTACCTTGAGCAACCTGCATAAATTTTTCAGCTACACTTTGTATGCTCATATTTGAATCAAGCATTTGAGTAAAATGAGATAAAGAATCCCTAATTCTCATTGAAGGACCTTCATTTGTTTTTAAATCTGTCGAGGAAGGCCGTGGAGTCGAAGTATTTTTCGGGGTAGCGAGTAAATCGCTCTCATTGACTGTACTTTCTGAATGCAAAATATATTTTGTATCGCCTAAATCTAACTGTTGTGGTTTTAAGAGTTTGGAGGGAATTGAAGATACCTTAGTTGCTCTATCCAATGTATTATTCGCAAGTTTTCTTTGTTCATCCCTGATATTATTTAGTGACTGCCTTTGAGATTCTGTAGCTAATATGTTAGAGGCATCGAAATTCGTTAATGAAAGCAGGCCTAAAGAAGTGCTGAACTGCGAGTCGAGTGATTGGTTTTGTAAGTTTTTATGTTGCTTAGTTCTATCTACCGTTGAAGTTGCGTTTATTCGAGGCCGGACTTGTTTAGGAGTCTGAAGTTCCAAGTCTCCATTCATTTTAAATAAGTGTAGGTAGTGGTGTATAAAAAAATCTAAGAAAAAGTGAAAGACTTTCAGATATTACTTATTGTTAAAATATAAATGATCCCTGAGAAATTATAGATTGTAGATTTACTTACATAAACGTTTTTTTTCAAATTTCTAAACTTTTTCATTAACGAATATATACACAAAACTTCGAAATTCAAAAATGACAACCATATGACATGACAGCTGACTGGTATTATTTTTTATCTCTGTCTATCCATTCGGAGAAAAAAAGGATAGATGATTCGATTTCTATTTGACCTTTCAACTAATCAGTGGTAATTCTAACCTTAAATTAATTAATTTTTGACAAGTTTGTTATTTGCATAGGTTATTTGTATTTTTGTAAACATTTTATTAATAATTAAAGTAAATTTCTAACTAACAGAGTGGCTCAAACGTGTAGTTTAATGAAACTTGAGCAATTATAAAAATCAATTTATTATGGATCATATATTTTCGATCTCCAAACGTCCGAATAAATTTAACTCCAGCAGAATTAACATTTTCAACAGGTAAAGTTTGTACAGTATTCAATATTATCGAAATTTAGAGTTCCATGTTATTCCAGATTTGAAAAGTCAATTATATGCTCAATATCCTGTACTAATGTTATAGCATTTAGTACTCAAAGTGATTTAGAAGAGACTAATTCTGCTTTCTTCAGTTCTAATGTTTATGTAGCCGACCTGAATAGCCCATGGCAAATTCACAAGTAAGTTTATAATCATTTGATGGTAATGAGTAAATTGTCTGTTTTTCTATTGTTGTAGAATACTCTGTAATCCTTCTCCAGTAACAGTATTACAGTGGGATTTCACTGGGGAATTGTTACTTATCGGTGACGAGAATGGTTGCGTTCGAATCTATACAACTAAGGATCATATTTTAAATGACTGGAGTCTATTACTGCAAGTCCCTTTACAAGGGGAACACATTCTTTCAGCTGCATTTTTCCATCCAGGGAAAAAAGTGTGTTTAAACCCCGAGAAAAAGGACACTCCTTCCTATATTGAAAGATACCAACATGTAAAATTTGCCTGTTCTGTAAAGCAGTTTGGTGGAAGGCCTGCTACAGGGGCTCTTTTACTGACCACCACTGGAATGTTGGCAGCTATTTTATTACCGCAAACTACCAGTCAGAGTCCCATGGTTATGGCAACTGAAAGTCTTGGACCTACGAGGATATTTATTAAAACTGCTGATATTTGTTATGGCAAAAGTAAGTTATAATTTGTCTGTTATTTATGATAATATAAAAGATTCTCTTTTTTAGATGGTCATTTCTTAATTGCTGTGAGTAGTGGAGATCCTTCTATGCCAGTACAGTGCTATAAAGTATCTGTAAAGAAATTAGATGAAAAATGCGTTATTACTAGTGAATCGTTGTTGAGTTTCTTTTTATTTGAGGCCCCTAAAGAAGCTCTTAGTAAGAACCTTTAGTAAAATGTTTTTATTTTTGCTTATTACGGTTATTTTTTTTTTCTTGTAGAACAAGTGGTAAAAGATAAGAAATGTACTATTAACCATGTCAAATGGATTATGCGTGAGGATGCAGATTCCTTGGTTGTTGCAGCGAATAGTGAGAATCAAAGTTGTTTGCAAGTGTGGGAATTAAGGGAGAAAGCTTTGCCTGTGCACAAATCTTTTGGAAATTCAGAGACTTCTCAATTTTACACAACTGTGGTAAGTATGAAATTTTATACAATAAATACAGCACCTCAAATAAATAGGTTTATTTATTATATTATACCCAATATTACAAAATGTAAGGAAATATACCGGGTTCGTCTCAAAAGTGACTCACCCCCTATACCTTTTTTATTTTTTCATATAAAAAAAAACAAATCTGGTATGTCAGTATATGACATAAATTATGGTTGGTTGACGTATTCAGTTGTTTTCGGTCGCTTCCTGTTTACCTGGAAAGAACTACAACTTTTGATTTTTAAATGGTATCATTGGTATGTTTTTACTTTATTCAGTAGAAAATGACACTATGAATAGAATAACAATCATATGTCAACTTTTGACATTTTCGCTGTGTTAAACTTCATTCAGAACCTTCCAATTAGTGGAATAAATCAGTACATAGTTTCAATTACACTTTATACTTTATAGTTTACGATCATTCACAATGCTTAAAAAACACAATTAAAATTAATAAAATATCCTAGCAACAGCTTGCGGTAGTCTGTTGTATCCATAGGAAAGCATAATATTTAGCCTATAAAACAATTAACTTTTGATTTCTAACTAAAATTTTTCTTGAGAGGTGATAATCAAAGGCCAAAATCAAAATGACATTCCTCGTAAATTTTGAAGTATAATTAGTGGAAAAGTCAAAACTTTGTTAAGTCAAAATATTTACTTTTTTATTTTTTTTGCATTTTTACAAACTATTTGTTTAGGATATTCTCCAATGGTGGCAGCACCGGCGGAGATTTTCTTGAAGCAGTGTGTCACTCTGTATTTAAATCTTATATTTGTAGGTGTGGCAGTACCAATGTCACTTCCAATACAGCAGCAGAGTCACATCCCTAGCCACAAGTAAACTCAGCCTCATCAATAATATTTCCAGCGGCTACATAGTGGTTACTTTCTCGGACAACACTGTCCATTGTCTGTTCCGGGACACGCTTAAACCCATCGTCAGTACTTCCTTGACTACTTCGAGGTACCACGACGAACCCATGGCCAAGAGTCAAAAGCTGTCTACGAAAATAGCCAGTATCGACATGTCTTGGCTGGGCAATGTCTTGCTGATAATGGATTCGGACGACGGGTTGCACCTGTTCAAATTGCCGCCCCAAATTGAAAATTCTGCTCTGAGTGTGCCCTATTGCATTACAGTGTTAGAGGTAAGTACCTATTTGTAGACTATACAGGGTGGTCCGAACTGTATTCCTGAAAACTTTGGTTATTCTGCAGATAAAAATAAGAAAAAAAGTTCGTATGAATGTATGCCCTAAAATGCTTAGTTTCGGAAATACAGGGTGTAGAAGTTTCATTTTTATTTCTATTTGTTCCAAATAATTTATGAAGTAACATCAATATTTGGATGAAAATTGGTGTCTGGGAGTTTTTTGGCATGATAAATTTGATTTTGATGTCAATATAACTCCTGCTTGTAGAGGGCGCCACCTATATATTTTTTAACTGGTTTGAAGGATAATAACTTTTCGTCCGTACCTTATACCGGGTGCGTCTCAAAAGTGGCTCACCCCTATAACTTTTTTATTTTTTCAGTTAAAAAAAACGAGATTTGGTATGTTAGTATATGACATAAATTAGGATTGATTGCCGTATTCAATTGTTTTCGGTCACTTCCTGTTTCACCGGAAATGACTACAACTTTTGATTTTTAAATGGCACTCTCGGTATTTTTTCACTTTATTCGATAGAAAATAACACTCTGGATAGAATGACATATCACATGTCAACTTTTGACATTCACTCATATGGTTTATTTGAGATTATAGCTTTCGGTTCCTAACGAAAATTTTAATCGAAATACCAAGTGTGTGGTATCAAATTATTCGTAAAAAAATGCTTTTTCCAAATATGCTAATGAGCCACCCTCGTTCCATTTGAAAAAAATAAGATATGATTAAAAATACTATTTGAGCATTTTCTAACTGGTCAGGACAAGACACTAAAAACATTAGACAATCCAATCTATTTTTCTAAGGCTCCTTGATTAAGAATTAGTGTTTTGAACCTAGCCATGGCACTCTAGATTGAAATTTAAAATGCAATTTTTTATTAAGCGAGAATGTCAAAAGTTGACATATAATATGTCATTCTATTCAGAATTTCATTTTCTATCGAATAAAGTACAAAAATACCGAGAGTGCCATTTAATAATCAAAAGTTGTAGTAATTTCCGGTGAAACTAGAAGTGACCAAAAACAATTGAATACGTCAATCAATCCTAATTCATGTCATATACTAAGATACCAAACCTCGTTACTTTATCTGAAAAAATAAAAAAGTTATAGGGGTGAGCCACTTTCGAGACGCACCCGGTATAAAACTACTGTTTAAAAAAATATACATTTACGACTTTTTTTACGTAAAAAAGGTCTCTTGGTAAAAATATTGTAGCGTTTTTTTTATAAACATTACCACTGCGAACGGCAGATTTTCATCGGAGAGCAGTCGTGGGTAAGGTTTTTCACTAGAGAGAAAACCAATCAATAACAATAAACAAAAAAATACAGATATTGGGCGCCAGGCATGTACAGAGAAAGAAAACACAGCTGTATATTACTTAAAACTAATGGCTATATTTATTCATGATGAATTCTGATGGTAAATAGCATTGTACAATTTTAATAATTATTATAGTGGTTAAATACTATTACAAGGCGTAATCTAATGAAACCTAAAATCTAAATCATATTGTAACTACTAAATCGACATAAATGTTCTTAATAATCTAACCACTAAATATAGTCTGTACGATATTATTTAAAATGTACGTTATTAAGTTAAGACTGAAAATCGACTGAAAATCTGAACCTAAATCTACACTTAGCTGTTCTTGAGGCAATCCTGTTTCGAAGAGTAGCAGCGTGAGGTAGGCTCATATCTCTCTACTGTCTGTCGGCGATCCTGTTGGCCAAAACAACAAAAGAGGCCAGAATGAGGACACCATGAATCAATACAGCCGTAGCTACTGACTAGGCTTAGAAATGGGAGCGAAGCAGCACGGGGCTTACGCTGTATCCATACTGTGGCCATATGGGAACACTACCCGTACCTTGGATACTACTAGGACCTTGGATAATGCCCGTACCTTGTAAATAGTCCGTACCTTGGACCCTAAAAATACGAAACTCTTGTTTAAAATCAAACAAGGTCTAATAAACAAAATGAACCTACCTCGAATTACTTCCGAGGGCTCCCTAAATAATAAAGAACATGTCCTTTCTTCCATGTGACATACTGGAGGGACGCCAACGTGCCAGCAAAATACAAATACAAGTTAAGTTGGGACATCCAAAACTCTACCCTAAAAATATGCAGTAATAATATCGAATCTAAAAGGATAATATTTCATCTTTACCTGTTGCTTTGAAATAGCAGCTGATTCAGATTATACAGCAAGATTTAAATAATCACCATTTCTAAAAGCCGGGATGGTTAGGTTAGGCTACAGAGCGCTAAAAGCAAAAGTCAGTCGACAGCACAGAGAGTTGACAGAAGCGATGTTGACAGCGCCTCCACAGAGCGATAACAGGATTGTGTCAAACGATAACAGGGTTGTGGACTACAGAACGTAAAAATTCGTCAAATAAATTATCCGGCCTGAACGATAGGGAATCCGGTGATGATACGCCAGACATCATATATCATAATCAAAGACATGTAACGAACTAAAAACATTACAATATGTTACGGTTAAGGTCCGATGTCCGGTTAACGTCGATATTACCCGGTTAATCTCGAAAATAACACACAACAAAACAACCAAAAACATAACCTAACCCAAACATTAACATGTTATGTCGACATTAACCGGACATCGGACTTTAACCTTAACAAATACATATCATTAGGCGTTTACGAAAATTATACCTTCGGTATTCACCGTTACCCAGCGGTAAACATATGTTTTATGTCAAATATGAATCTGGTAGAATATTTTTAAAACGAACTGGTTAATATCTATTTCTCATGTCAAAAAACACCCAGACACCAATTTTCATCCAAATATTGACGTCACTTCAGAAATCATTTGGACAAAATCGAAATAAAAATTAAACTTCTACACCCTGTATCTCCGAATCCAAGCATTTTAGGACATTCATTTATAAGAACCTTTCTACTTATTTTTATCTACAGAATAATGCTGCTGAAGTTTCCGGAATACAATTCGGACCACCCTGTATATTACAAACTATATTATTATTGTAGACTATATTATACAGGGTGTTTCAAAAAACATGTGCCATCTCTGGTGGGGAGATTACTCGCGTATAAATAAGGATTATTTTTTATATAAACATAGGACTGATTCTGCTTTGTTTTTTAGCTACAGGGGATTAAATAATAATTATTAATTCATTTTTTTCAATTTATTATAATTTTCTTCCAAGTGCTTTTAGCGATTCAAATGAAATGTTGTGGGTAAAACTTCCTATAAGTGTTAAATATTTTATTACCAAAAAAGTGTCGACAGATTCACCAGGGACGTGCATATGGGTTATCACTGGAATATTTTTCTAAAAAAACGTGTTTGCGCCACAATTAATAAAATTAAAATAAAAAATTATTTATTAAATATATTTTAAGAAAGAAGTAGAAAAGACTCAAAGTTCTTTCTTAATTTAAACCAGGTCTCTTTGAGCAAAATGGACGCCTTCTTTAAATTTAATATATTTTGTTATTAAATTTTATCAAAGATTTTAACACTGTTGTTCAGTGCTACGCTACAGCAAATTAAAGAAAAAATATAAAGTTAATTGAGATAACGTATAATTACAAAAAAAACTATAAAGGACCACTAAAATCGACAAAATATCAAGAGGCAACTTTGAATCGGCATTAAACGGCCTACACAACTGTGCTAACAAGAGAAAAAAAGTCAGTGGCGCACAGTTTTCTTTTTAGCAAAATATTCCAATGGTAACACAAAAACACGTGCCTGGTAAATCTGTCAAAACCGTTTACCCTCAAAATTTCATTCAAATCGCTAAAAGCACTTGGAATAAAATTCTAATAATATGGGAAAAAATAAACATTTTGACCCCCCCTGTAACTACGAAACAAAGCAAGTATTTCTTTTACGTGAGGAATCTCCCCTAGAGAGATGGATATTTTTTGAAACACCCTGTATGAAAATTGATAACTGCTAAAAAGTCCTGTAATAACCTTATTTTCTAGTATTGTTTAATTGGCGGTTTTGACTGGTTGGATCTATTATTGGTCATAAAACCCAACATGATCGACATGATTTGTGATAGACTAACAGACGTCTTCAACAGACAGCCACAGTTCATACAACAATTCTACTACGTTCAGTTTTTGTGCATCAAAACGTCGCTATACAGGTAATGTATTTCTATGTTTAATTCTACAGGGGGGTGTATACTTTAATGGGTAATAACCCATTGATTGACCAAGACACAAAGAAGTTATATTATTAGCTATATAGCAGTAAAAATTGAACTAAGATTTATATACACCAATAGAATGTAAAGTTTTATTTGGGATATTAAAACTCTAGCAAAATAAGTAATTAATTAATTGTTACTATATTAATGAAAATATATTATCCCACTTACTTGGTGTCTTTTTAATATGTTTCAGCTTCTATTAGGGTATTTCCTTCATTATCTTATACATTAAAATCTAGACTACCGATAATGTAGCATGGCCCAGGTCTGTATATAGTCTTCCCAACTACAGTAGAACAAAAATTAGCAAATAAATTGGTCAAGTGCGAGTCAGACTCGCGCACGAAGGGTTCCATACCATTCATTATACAGGGTGTCCCAGAAATAAGTGCAAATATTTTAACTGGTAGTATAGTTCAACCCCAGAAACACGCCTATGAGGTTTTTTTTGCGAAAAAAAAATGTTGAAAATTTAAAATTTTTCTTGATATTTTCCGGGAAATTTGAAAAAACTTTTTAGTGCCACTTGTTTATTTACCTGAGATTTCCCTACGGTGTATCTAAACCTTGCAGTGTTGCAACCTCCTATGTTATCCACATTCTGCATAGTTCGGCGGAACATAGTTCTACATTTATAAATTCATAGACAAATTTCTACTCAAAAAATTAGGAATATTAAATTTAATCTTTTATCAGTGCTCATTATTAATAATTATAGAAAAAACACATTAATTATTTTTAGTACTTACCCTTTCAATGAAAACTTAACAAAAACTACCGAAAATTAACTAAAACATTACGTTTATGACGTTTACGAAAATCTTTGTTATGCTGCAAAATAACTTTATTTTGGAATAAATTTAATAAAATGATTCATATTATTCACAATCAGGTCACAAAAAGAAATTCCTAAAATGTTTATCGTAATTTAGAATTCGATTCAAGAAATTTAGAAAACCGCCCAACGAATAATCGATTCATTTTTGTTTTGTTTGTTTTCTTTCATGTCTCTCTGTTTTATTTGAACCACTGTTTTACAAAACACCTTGAAAAGCGCACATTACTTTGAATACCTTTCTGAATGAATAAATGTTGAGAATTATTGTCTCTTATCGCCACTTTACGAACTACTTTCAATCTAAGAAAATACATGTTTCACTCAACAATTATTGACAACGTATTTTGTTTTTTTCGCTATTTTTTCGATGTATTTCGACAATTCCATCGACAGCCTAACCGTCAGCCAAGAACTGCCGCGTGTGAACTGGTCCTTTGAGTCGCTGGTCGTGGCGGGCTTGCGTCAGACGACGATGTTAAGCAACGTTGCCGTAGTTACAACAATTTCAAATTCAAGACATTCGAAGCAATCAAATTCGTATTAAATTTTAAAAATAAAACAGAGAATAATTTGAAATTGTTGAAACTACGGCAACCTCGCATGACGCAAGCTCGACACGGCGGCGCGACAAAGGAGCTGTTACCAGTGATGCGCCGCTCTCTTGGCCGACGGCCGAGGCGACGGTTGGGCTGTCCATGGAATTGTTGAAATACATAGAAAAAATAGCGAAAAAACAAAATACGTATTTAAAATTGTTGAGTGAAACATGTATTTTCTTAGATTGAAAGTAGTTAGGAAAGTGACGGTAAGAGACAATAATTCTCAACATTTATTCATTCAGAAAGGTATTCAAAGTAATGTGTGCTTTTCAACGTGTTTTGTAAATCAGTGGTTCAAATTGTGATGAGGCCTATATGAAAATAATGTGTTAAAAACGGGGACTGTTATTTTAGAAGTTATTATTAGTTTTTTTACAAGTTTATTAGTTTTTTACAATTTAGTTTAGTACAAGTAAAGCAGCACAGTGAAGTGTATTTTAGTTAAGTGTATATCGAAAAAGAGAACTGTCATAGTTACATCGATCTGTCTCTATCTTTTTTAATGTTGGGTAAGTTTTTTAATTTAACTTTTTTAACACATTTTTTAACACATTATTAAACATTTAACTTTTAATTTATTTTATGTAATAATATCACAATCTTAAAAATGTAATGCATCTCTTCAAACTCCTCAGGTGTTGTGATTTTATGACTTAATTTTAACATATATTTTCTTGTCCCTATGGCAACACAGTGCGTCGAATTAACTGAAATCCGGGCTTGATCCGGGTAATTGGATGTAGTTGGCGATATCTGCCGGCGGTTCTCAAAATGTTGCGATTATTTTTTTAAATTTTCGAAGTTAAATAACTCGGTTATTTTCAATTTATTTTAAAAATGGTAAAGAGAAGATATGTTTATTTTGACCAGATCTACCACCCCTTAAAATATCTGCACTCATTTCTGGGACACCCTGTATATACAACATTATACACTATATTATTATAAACTTTTTTTCCGATTTCGTTGAAATTTTGAATGCGCGCATAAGTAATTTAAAAAAAATGAAGAAACACATTACTAAAAATTGTATAAATCAATAATAAGTATGTAAAAAGTAAAAATAAATATGTAAAAATATGTAAAAATTAAAAAAAACGATTAAAAAAAAGTCGCCTTGACTAGGATTCGAACCTGCCTTACTACGGCTCCAACGTCATAGCAGCGTAAAGTCCTAACGCTTTAAACCACGCGGCCACCGAGGACTTGAAAGATTCTATGTAAAATTCTTACTTAAAAGATAATGTTTAGTGAAAGTACTTTTTTATTTATAAACATTTATTTAATTCTGTTTTTAGTATTTGTTCTTATAACGGCAACATATAGATACATTTTCTGTAAAAATTTCAACTGTCTAGCTATAACGGTTCATAAGATAGACCTTTGTGACAGACGGCCGGACGGACGGACGGACAGCGAAGTCTTAGTAATAGGGTTCTCGTTTTTTACCCTTTAGGTACGGAACCCTAAAAAAACAATTTACTACAAAAGTAAATTTATTTTTTTCTGCTAATTTTTGAGTGTGATCTGTCGAAATCTTCCCTTCTCTTTAATGGCTTTAATGTAACATAAAATATACACCATTTTAGGTTAAGCTCTAATGGTCAATCGAAAGCAAATGATCTTACCAGTTTTCTGATGCTGCACAGCATTTCCACGGCCTTCAAAAGCCTTCTTAGGCCCAGCGAAATGACCAGTCACGAAAAGAGTCCAGCGGATTCACTATCAAGTAAGCAAAAACACAAATAATATTGAAATATTGTATGGTATTGTATTTTACTAACTACTTGTGGTGGTCCCATCATCCACTACTGCCGCAAGAGCCTATAATGCCTCAGTTCTACAAACTTTAAAATTCATCCTCAAGACCCAACCTTCAACCAAGGTGTGATAGTCTATAGTCTATCCAACGACAAGATCCTTTGACAGTGATAGATGTGTCTGTCATTTTAATTTCAAAGTAGTTTATTTCATTTTACAAAGAAATAAGTTGGTACAACTGGAACGCATAGCAAATTAATATATTTAAAATTTGACTGATAAGTGCGATTACTTCAAAATATTGTGAAAAAAACTGTATAAAACTGAAAAAATGTAATCGAGTTATTTTATTTAAAAAAAACGGTATATGTTAATACAAAAAAAACAAGAGCAAAACACCACATACGAAAAAAATATAAAAAAGAACTATTTCTTACTTTCAAGCTTCAAGAAACTTCCCGCATATATTTATCATTATAACTTATGTACAAATACACATTTGTATTATTCCACAGGAATAAATAAAACAACATAAATAAAACAAACTATTTTATTAATAATAACACTTGCCAAATTTTATACCTTAAAGGTTGATTAAATAACTTTAATCTTAATATGTTTAAACCAGTACCTTTTGACATTATTTTTCTGCAGTACTAAAATCCATTATTTACTTATCGTGTGATGTCGATATTTTACAGCTACTACAGTTTTTAGTATATGATTAGTATGATCCTTGTACCATATACAAGATGCACTTATCTACAACGAGATGGTATACAAACTTTATTGATGGTAACTTTATTGGTGTATTAACACTTTCTGCCTGGGCAGCGAGTTTAACTATAAACTGTACTCTGGGTCTACAATTAATTTTTCCTCGATTTTTCCTCCACTTGACTTCAAACGACAAAACACACATAATAACACGAATCAAAATGCATCATCTTCCAAAACGCAGGGTATTTGACATAAGTTGGCACAAAATTATAACCTATTTTGGCAAGACTTTGACAAGCCTCAAAAATCTAAAGGCGAGTTCATACTGATCGGCGTCCGTTTGTCATTCATCGTTCCGTCAAACCAATAAAATTGAAATACGATCATTTCTGAAATAAACCAATAAAACTGGTTAGAAACAACAAGAGACGACTCATGACGGATTAATATTTAAACCTTTTTTTTTAAATACCTCGTCGGAATTCCAAATTAACTCTTTATTATCACGAGTCAAACAGTATACAAAAAGCACAAAATGTGACATTAATTAAATTATTTTATTAAAATATATTTTGACTTTTCAATGTCAAAACATATTTTAACGTTTCCCTGGTTACTGATTTCTATGTGTTGCCCATTCATCATTGCTATTTTTCAAAGTAGTATTTTAAAACATTTTTAAAAAAGAATTTATCGTTATATGATTTAATTTTTGTTTAAAATATATATAAAAAGTATATTGGAAATAATATGACAAATATTTTCAAAATAATAAATACACGTATCAGTTATATCTTGATTGAAAATTTTTAGTGGTCTATATTTTTAGTAATTGTTGTCAAAGCAGCGAAAAAAACGCTCCAAGTTAGCATTTACGTCTAATATCGTTCTGCGCATGCTCAGTAGCGTACGCAGAGGGAAAGATAGATTTATACGATAATCTTGTTCTAGAAAGAAATAAATAGAAAAATGCATGTGAAAGTCCCGTAAACAAAGTCGTGTGTAATATATCATAGCTTTATCCACGAAGTTTATAAGATCTAAGATTTAAACCCATCCATAGCTAACTTAAAAAATATTAGAATTTTTTTTTAGTAAAATAAATAGATTGGTATGGCACGTCATCTGCTTTTCTTCTGTCATCGTCTGACGAAATCTTACCTGAGAAAAAAAACAGTTAGAGTATAAAAGAGTTTCTTGAAAGTGTTTTAAACTAGTTGAAATCAAATCTACTTATATCTCTCTAGAACCTTTTTTACACTTTGTTCCAGCTGAAGCCGAAGGTCAGGCAGACGTAGACAAAGTATTAATGCACCTGGAAGCCAAAGAATTCACAGTGGAACCGTCAACTCTCCAAAGTCTTCAACAACTTATCCAGTGGGTAGCTGATTTAGCCCTAAACCTTCTGGTCAAAGTTCCAGAAAGCAGACCTTCGATAGGGAAATTTTACGAACTGATCAAAGACGTGAAAGCGCTGAATATGCTGAGGGAGTTGCTGGTACTGATCAGGATATGGGGATTGCTGAGACCTGCGTGTTTGCCCGTATTTATTCGCTCCGATGCCAATCTGGATGTTTTGGCGTTATTGTTCAGGTTAGTATTTTTTAAGTAATATCACAGATTATAATTATCTAGCTACGCAACAGAAGCCTCGTTACACGTATAAAATCGTAGGTATCAAAAGGAGACAGGCTTTTAAAGCCTATCTCCAATCAGATATTTTAATGCGGTAGTTTCGCTACGGTGCCCGGTGACGTAGAGGTACAGGCTCTCGTCTACCAACCTGAAGGTAGTGGGTTCGATTCCCACACCCGGCATTTCAACAGCCGACAATTTTTATTAAAATAAAAATAGTTTGGGTACCTAGGTCGACTCAGCTTTAAATGAGTACTTGGGATTCACAATCCTTAGGTAATAATAGGCGGTTGAAGCGTAGTGCTAGCCACATTACCTTCCTTCTATACCGAACGGCTCTAGTATGGCAAGCTGTACCTTCCTACTCCCAAGGCGTTAAACGCTATATACGGGAGCTATTATTATCATTATTAGTTTCGCTACTACATAATAGAGGGCGATAAATTGAAAAGAAAACAGTTTTCTACAAACGAAATTTAAAAGAATTTTATGCAGTGTTGCCATTGTGTAATTCATATTGTAATACTTCCTTATAAAGCCTACCTTCAAATTTGCTACATCATTTAAACATATTAAATAGATCAGAGGTCTTTTTTCAAACGTTTAGGTATTTAACTTGCCATGTTAGTTGGAGTTAAATCTTACGAGCTGAATTACAATCACTTTGTGACGTTTGATTGTAATTGAATTTCCTGGCGTTCGATTGGACCTTTGAATAAGAAGACTAAGGAAGGAGCATATCAAAAATCTTAGGTACACCGCGATGGGCCTCAAATATGGCCGACTTAATTACTATTACTAAATTCCGGTTTATCAGTGTCATTCTAATTTTATTTAAAAAATGTAAAACTATGATGTAGGGTAGACGTGGGGTAGACTCAATAATTTGTTGTTTTATTTTACGTTGTGAATAAATGTTGGTAGTTATTAAAATTGTTATAAAAATATATAATTCTAATAAAAATAGATAAGTTATAATAAGTATTTATTAACACAAACATCCGATACGCTACTGAAGCAGGTAAGTCAAATTAACGTATCTAAATTCTTTGACATCTAATCTTTGACAAGTAATAAATAAAAGCTAAAATGCAAGAAAAATATATAATTTAGTTAATTTAAGTGAATTTCATAAATGATCGGTTTACTACACGTATGTATATTATATAGTCACTTACTAGCGAAAAGTTGTTCCATTATTTCACTCAATTTTGCCGAGATCTACCGCACGCTACACAACCAACTATTTTAGAGTCTTTTTCGATAAATCGCGATAGTGTCACTGTTAATTTAAGTTCTGCCACAATTTCCATCTAGATTTACTACCTTTATACAACTATCAGTAGTAGAATAAATAATAAATAACATAAAATAAGCTCCATAAAGACTGACAAATCCACAAAATTTCAAAAATCAAATGTGTCAAATGAATCGTCAAACAGAACTGTCAAGGATCCCCACCCTAGAGAGCTTTTATGGTGCCTTTTCGGCCCACCATGCATGAATACATGGATAGCATTATGCTCCTTCCTTAGTCTTCTTATTCAAAGGATTGGACTTATACTTGGTTTAGTAAGTATCTTCGGTGACATTGTAATATGGTGGTACTATGATACATATAAAGTGGTACCTTAATATAGTACCATATTACGATACCACTTCCTGACGTTCGATTGGGCTCATATTTGATTATACTTGCATATTTTTGATGACATTACAATATTATGGTACCATGAAGTACATCAAGAGGAACCATAATGTAGTACCATATTACGATACCATTTCCTGGCGTTTGATTGGTCTTAAACTTTGTATACTACGTGTGTTCGGTGACATTGTAATAATATGATGGTACTTTGATGCATGTGGTACCTTCTATAGTACCGTATTATGATACCACTTCCTGACGTTCGATTAAGCTCATATTTGATTATACTTGCGTATTTTTATGACATTGCAACATTATGGTACCATGAAGCATATCAAGGGGTACCATAATGTAGTACCATATTACGACACCATTTCCTGGCGTTCGATTAATTGGGCTTAAACTTTGTATGCTACGTATGTTCGGTGACACTGTAGTATGATGGTACTATAATGCATATAAAGTGGTATCTTCTATAGTACCATATTATGATACCACTTCCTGACGATCAATTGGGCTCATATTTGATTATACTTGCGTATTTTTGATGACATTGCAATATTATGGTACCATGAAGCATATCAAGAGGTACCATAATGCAGTACCATATTATGATACCATTTCCGGGCGTTCGATTGGGCTTAAACTTGGTATACTACGTATCTTCGATGACATTGTAATATGATGGTACTATGATGCATATAAAGTGGTACCTACCCATAGTGCCATATTACGATACCATTTCCTGACGTTCGATTGTGCTTAAATTTGGTATATTACGGATCTTCGGTGACATTGCAATATTATGAAGCATATCGGGTGGTACCATAATGTAGTACAATATTATGATATCATTTCCTGGAGTTCGACTGGGCCAAAATTTGGTATACTTGCGTTTCTTTATAAAGATTTGTTTAATTAATAATTTTAGTTTATTTTACGAATTTTAATTTATTATACGATGTCGTGACAGCAACTTTTATGCCGAACTAATATATTATTAATTGTACCTGTGTCACTTTTTAAAATCTACCTAGAGGTCAATATAAATAACGTGGCAAACAGAAGAAATTTGTTATTATAGTATTTTTTTAGTCAATTAACATTTTTTATACTGCATTTTAATAAATTATTTCCATTATTATTAAATGTATATTTCATTACTAAGGTTACAGCATTAATAAATATCACTATCAATGGCCCTGTATATTATCAATTTTAAAGGTAATTAAAGTTATTTTCTTAGTTAACATAATAAAGTAGTGTATTACATAATATATTAAAAATGTATTTTGTGAGCATATGTTTTCTAATAATATGTACTTAAACTTAAAACTATTTTAAAAGCCAAACGAATAATTAATGTAAGTGTATCTGACAAGAAACGAAGAATAGAAAGAAATTATTATACACCAGAAAAAGAATGGGGTGCCAATTAAAGTCTTTTTGAATCTGGCAACTGTGCATATTTAGCCGACCTTCAAGGCTGTCGACGTGCCGGCGATCTAAAACCGAAAAGTGAAAATTTCCAATTATATTCTGATTATGATATTGTCGCGCCATCTAGTATTTTATTTATGCAATTTTTGCTCTTTCATTTCGAGTATTTTTCTGTTGCGTAGCTAGATATTCTGTGGTAGTATATTATGAAAGGACTTTTAAATATAGTGTGTACAACGGTCATTCAACGTTACATCATCATCATTGATCTAATATCCGTTTTAAGGTACATATGTCTGAAATCAGTTCATATTGTTCAGTAAGTTTCAAGCCTCGATCATATATACTTAAGCTAGATTTTCATAAAAAATGTCTATACCTATGTGGCGGATTCATCTCTCCAAAAAAATCCTTTATGTGTACTGCCCACTGGCCATGGGAGCCATGGGTATGGCCACTGCACTGCAAGAAAATCTACAAAATAAAATAGTTATTTTTTGTAAACTTTTCTGCGTTGTTTTTGATTTTAAAGAACATAGCATAAATAAACATAACATACGTAAAATTTAAAAATAATCATACAGAAATTTTGGGGCTTTTTGGTTTTACATTATTAAGTAATTGTTATCAAGTAGTAATTGTTAATTTTGAAGTTTAACTTGATATAATGTCATTTTAACAGAGCGTCAACGGTTTCTTGTAGACGTATCCCAAGTAGCATCTATCTGACTTCGAACTAAATCTGACCTGAAGCGGGTCGGGTGCTCGTGACACCACCTGTGACGTCGCTTTCGATTGGGACTTATTAAAAGCGACGTCGTTGGATCCGAGTCGGTAAATCCAACGATCTGTCGACGTACAAAATAACAACGTACCATTTTTATTAATTTCCCAACGTCGTTCCCACGTTGGCTTGCACGACGTACATGTACTTGAACTAGCCCGACGTCTACCCGTTGTCCGAATAGGATACGTCTCACTGATAATCCCTAAACTAACGTCCAATTATATTTTGTTGTATTTTATGTTCATATTTATAACCTAATTTACGTATCTCTATTTAGGTCCGTAAATACCCCATTAAGTAGCATTTGCGACCTAATGAACATCACGAACATAACCTAATAAAAAGTTTTTGTAAACAAATTTAAATTTTTTATTATGCCTAAAAAACACTAAAAAGGCATTTAGACATTCATCTACATTTTACAGAAAGAGGTCGAGGCTTTTGCAAAATAATAATAGTAGTGATGTCTTGCCTCCACCCGTAAATGCTTTTTATCCGGAAGAGATGCTGCATTACACTGGTGCATCTTAATTTATTTTTTTAGCTTAGGATACCAGCAGACCCCATCCTTCTCCGACATGTGAGGTTAGGCTTAAAAAAGTGGCTGCCCATTTTTTTAACGAGAAAACAAAAACTAAAATATAGTTGCACAAATCCACAAATCATTGATACGCAAAACGCAAAGTGAGGTTACGTAGCGTACGTTGGAATTAGTGTTAGTAGTAATAGTAGTAGTAGTAGTATTCTTTCGTTCTGAATGAACTGAAAATTTTCACTTAAACTGGTTTATAAAGGGAATCGACAAAGAAAGGAACGATCCGATATAGAAAAATCCAGAAATCATTGTTATTTCCTATACCACGTAGGAATAAATCAGTTTAAGTGAAAATTTTCATTTCGTTCAGAACGACTATTATTTGGGTCATTTCCATCTCACCCAAATTTCACCGAACACCTGCCGAACACTAAAATTAATTTTCTTCTTTTATCTAAATAATTATTATTGATTGCAATTGAAAAAATAAAAAGAAATACGAACCGCACGTAAACAAGGACATACTTATATCGTTTTAGAAGAAGCTTTTATTTTAGATATGAGGTTTTCAATAGGAATTGAAACAACTATAAACTCGGCACTTTTAAATTTAAAACTTTAAATTATGGTTTAATTTATTAAACGGCTTCGGCACAGTTAATAGAATACATTGAATAAAGAATTTTTTTTTTATTTTTTATTCAGTGATAGAATATAGGTATTGCAATGGTTCAGATTTGTTTAAAATAGCCCCTAGACGAGCACTAGCTGGGACGAATTTATTATTAGGTTAAATTTATAATACTACTAAATAATTCGAATTATTAATTCGATTGTGTAATATGAATTATTACTAATTATTCGATGGTAAAAATAATTCGATTATTCCCATCACTAGTTGGAATTATATACGTCATAATACGATTGCCGGTCGTCCGGTTTGATGACTTCGGTCGTGTGAGACGACTAATGTTGGAGACCCGGTTGGAATTGGTATATTGGTAGTTCATATTAAGTCGGACACAGAAATCCGCCATTCTTAACACGTATCCGATTGTCAGCCATTTTAAAATCGTTTTTTGTTTTTAAAATTTAGTATTTTTAAAATAGTAGAATAATATTGATAAGGTTGAGTTTGGGGGGAACCTCAGTACAGTTTTATGATTAAGCCAGCTAGAAAATTAAAAAAATATTTTGCGAGTTACTTTTTTATAGACATTTTTATATCATAAATCTACCTAATTTTGAAGGCGCTCGTTGTTTTCCGGAGTATTTTAATCAGATATATCAAGAAAGTGACTTCCGTTGACAAAACTGATGTCTGGATTAATGATTCAGAATTATTATAATATGAAATTAAATAGGCACTTATAGTTATATTCGAGGAGTGATTATGAATCCATTTGTAATTAGGTAGTTTGGTTAGGTTTTTTATGTATTTTTGGTAGCGAATATGAAACCAAACGTAACGTAAGTGCTTAGCGACGAATTTTAAGTGACTAAAATCCAACGTAATATGACGTTGGTAATTGGTAGAATTACATTCCCTATTAGGTCAGATACCGACGTCGAGGCGACCCGAATCTGTATTCCCCATTTAGGTGCAAATAAGGGTCGTCAGGCGGTCGAACCGACGTTGGTTATTGAACGCGACGTATACCCGACGTTAGATAACGTCCAAATGCTACTTGGGATCTGTTTTAAAAAAGTAAAGTGTTCTCGAATAGTTGAATTTAAATATTTTAAATAGTTTTTTTCTTTATTTTTTGTATTTTTTTTTGCTTCCGACGACGGAAAGAAATAAACTTTCCGAAACGTTAAGCATTTTTTTCTTTGTTAAGCAAATTTGTATAACTGTAAACATAACTTCTGACAAGCAGTGTCCGTTTAAGTTTAACGCAGAAGTGTTTACAAAAAATAAGTATTTTATTTTGTAGATTTTCTTGTCAAATCAAATATTTAAACATCGTTTATATTTTTATATAATAAAACATAACCAACGTAATACGCCCTAAGTTTTGTAAATGGAGTAAATATAAATAGGTACTTAAATGATGGCAAAATAAAAGACTTACATTATATTTTTAGAGCCACAAACAAAAAAATTGTCTAATTAAAACACATATAACAAATTTTAGTTTGAAAAACGTTTTGATAATCATTTGATGATATTATGATTGGCGCAATAGTATGACAATAGCCATTGGAAACTGTGGAAACTACAAAAAACTTCTGATTTAACGCCATCTGGCAATAACTAGTAGCAACTTCTTAACCTAAAAATTAATTGCACTACCACCTAGCGCCTGAGGCTGGAACTATATTATTTGAAATTTCCCTGGAAACGGTGGAACCGCTTTTGCTATTTCACTTTCCCGTCCCTGCTAGTTACGTTTGTTTGTCCTAGTTAAATGTATGATGCGCAGTAGTGAACAGATGTTGAATACAGATATGATGCTCAATAGTGAACGCAACGTCTACCGGCAGCCAGAGGCTGTTCAGCAGAGTATGGCAAAACATACATTAAAGAACCAGGGGTGTAACTCTGTAACTAAATAGCGATCGGTAGCGATGAAGAATTCTGTTGCTTGCCGTTTAGTTTCTACGGCCAAGGTCAGTATTCTTCATCGCTACCGATCGCTATTTAATTACAGAGTTCCACTCAAGCTTTCTTAAAATTCTCTCTCGAAAACATTGCTATTAGCTCTTATACTATAAGTAAAACAGCGGAATCGTTATGGAAATGAAAATATAAAATGACACCAATCACAAGCAAATCATATATCCGATGAACGGAGGCATGAAAATGCAATAAATTTAAAAACTGTAATTTTCTAACCAATCGAAGCCTTTAAATTCAACAAATAAACTTCATATCATATCATATCGTCGGACAACGGATGCATGAAAATCAAGCTTAACTCATCTTTAATAAACCTTATTTCAATGGAGTGTAATGTTGAAAGATACTTTTTAAATGAGCTGTTAAATTCGTCAAGCAGTTCAAGTTTATTGATAAAGTGATCATTTTTTATGTATTAGAAATAACAAATAATATTGATTGCAGGTTACTTAGCCGTCTAGTATTGAACGTCAATGAACCTGATGATGCTCTTGTTGGTAAGTTTCAGTTTATAATAATAACGCTATTAGTAACTTTCTTTATACATTTATGATAATCAGTTAATAATAAATATTAAGTTATACTACTAGCTATTTTCCTATGTCAGCATTTTTAATATGATATATTATTTATCTATTTTTCTTGTATCTACAGACGAATGTTGTTTGTTACCCAGCCAAGTTCAAGTCCAACCAATGCTACCCATCAATAACAGAGTAGTTTTAGCTTCACCACAGTTGGTACAAGTTACCCTTCCTATTCAGGTACATTTTTATTATATAGTTACTTTTATCAATATTTTTCAAATAAGATTCATGCAAAAAGGAAACTTTAACTAATATACAAAAGACCGTCTGCTCTATAATATATAATATTTTATCCACGAATCGTCTATAATTTAATTATTATACATGAGTTTATGAAATAATAATAATATTCATTATTCACTAGTGAATAATGGTCTTGTTATTCACCACTTCCACGTATATCTCGATTCAAACTACAAACGAGCTATTTGAAGTTTTCATTGTCACTTTTTGCATTCATCTATGGGGTGTTTCAAAAATTGTTTTTCTTGTCACGTGATAAATATAAAATATTTTTTGCTCCTTAATCATTCTCTTATAATATCTCGCCATGTAAACAAATTATTAAAGACCCTTATGAAGGAACAATGTTAAAATTCCCTCATTTTTCACTCTAAAATTCGATTTAAAAATTTGAAGTTTTAAATGTCACTTTTTGCATTCTAAAATTCGATTTAAAAATTTGAAGTTTTCAGTGTTATTTTTTGCATTCGTCTATGGGAGGTTTCAAAAGTTGTTTTTTAAAAATTCAAAAAAAACTTATATTAATATTATCTAAATTGATTTATCTGATAGTCCTGGATAAAGTATAGTATTCTGCTCGCATATAATTATTATATGCGAGTAGAATATTATACTTTATAAAGAGAGAATTCTAGTTATAGAGGTGAGAATTCTAGTTCCTTTGGAGGAACTAGTTCCTCCAGAGGAATAGTTCCTTGAACTAGGTCTTTAGTTCACAATAGTTCCCGACTAACATTGACATCCCCCTTGCTAATGCCTTTCGTTGTTAGTCAGAACTATTCACAGTATGATCTATATAATTTTTATAATGTACGGAGATATAACGAGACGTGTAATTGTGTATGTTAAAAACATATAGGTAAGTTTTATTGCAGATAAAAATAATAAAAAAACTCAAATTAGAATTTAAAAAACTATATCACAAATCAATTGGAGCAAATATTACAAAAATTTTACGAAAAATTGCATTTTTCCTCACTTCAAGCTTTTTGTTTTTGTCTAAAAATTCAGAATATCTACTTCGTTTTATAAGATATTTCTTAATTTTAGGAACCTAAAGTGAAACATTCCCATAAAATATTTAAAAAACAAACTAAAAATCAAAAACAGTATCCACGACAATTTTCTGTGGTAATTACGCCGCGCCGGCTGTGGCAATAGACAAGGCCGAATCCATCGTCGTCGCCTTGTATTATATCTCGGATCTGCCGACTGACTAGATTCCCGTGAACAGTCTTTTAATAGTTCCTCTATGTCCGGATCGGATAACATACGGCTGGCACTCCCCACGCCTGCCTAGCATCAATCGCGCTGGCTGATCCATACGTAAACTAGTCTTTTATTTAGTTCCTCTAGTTCCTTTAGGTCCGGATCCGATAACATACGGCATACGGCTGGCACTCCCCACTCCTGCCTAGCATCGATCGCGCTGGCCCGATCCGTTCGTACGTAAACTAGTCTTTTATTTAGTTTAGTTCCTCTAGGTCCGGATCCGATAACGTACGGCTGGCACTCCCCACTCCTGCCTACCATCGGGCTACGCGCGCTAGCCGATCCATCGCCGTCGCATATTATTCTATATCGGTCACAGTCTCAATCCCGGAACAGGTCCTTAGGAACTAGTTCTTTGAGAAACCAGGAACTAGATCCTTTCATTCCGGGGTCGGAATAGTTCATTGGAACTAGTTCGTTCACTGTTATTCACTTGGATGATCTATGCATAAACTTCATCCGCGTGAATAGCAGCAACCATTATATGCTCGTTGAATAATATACTATTATTTAAATTAATTTTAGTTGGAATTTAATAACGATCCAGAAGTACTGGTCAATTCAGCTGACTTATCATCAAGCCAAACCGTCGACTCAATTAGGCATTTGTACTTGGGTAAAACGCCGCGGGTGGTGAAACAGTGCGTCCGGTGTGGGGGATCTGCTGGTACTACCCCGGTGACCAGGACGGCGGCTATCAGGGCTTGGGACCAAAGATGGATTCGATCATGCCAGTAAGTACATATCACTATATTATTTTCTTTTCTAGATCTACATATATTATAGATTTACTCTGCATTTTGCGCTAATGATTAAGATACTAGAGCTTTGGCGATTTTAAACAAAATCTTCGTTTCTAAAAAAGTTTCGTTCCTTATTTTATTATGATCATAGATAGAAAAGAAATGTAGATCGCCAATTTGTGCTAATCTAGCGCCTCCCGTAACCGAAAATTGTTGTTTCAATCATTTACATAGGTACCATACAATATTCAGATTGTTAATTTGTTTATTACTCGCGGCAAGAGCTGTATGGTTGAAATAAGGCAACCTCGGCCCGCTCGTCGAGAGACGATGCGACGGGACGAGTCGGCAGCTTAGCTTAGTACTCATTTGGAATGTAGGCAGTGTTGCCATTCTGTTCCCCAATAAGTAACCATCCAGTTAACAATCGGTATACCATACAAAATATTGTAATCGATAAAAATTTGGATATTTTCCAATAAAACCCTTTTAAACTTATCTCAGATGTATTAACATACAGAATATTAAGAGAAACACATACAGCGTTTTATGAAAAAAAAATCGGTCGTCGGTTGAGTTGGAAAATATTTATATTAAAATTTATGTAGGGGTGGGGGTAGTTTTTACCCTTCTCGTACTTTTTCCTGATTTTTGTGAAAGTCAAATGTTAAAGCACATAGCAAAACATAGGCACCCAAATCTCATTCAAATCGGAATAACGGTTCTTAAAATATCAGAAAAAATGTGTTATTTTTTTAAAGTTTGTTGCCCTGTAGCGGACAAATAAGCACCTTTGTTTAGAGGTAAATTGTGTCCAATGAATTTATCTTGATTCCAAAAATACGTAGTAGTTCTTCTATATCCAAGGAATATCGGGACACCCTGTATACAGGCGGGTCCGAATTGTATTCCGGAAACTTCGACAGTATATTCTGCAGATAAAAATAAGTAAAAAAGTTCGTATAAATGTATGTCCTAAAATGCTTAGTTTCAGAGATACAGGGTGTAGAAGTTTCATTTTTATTTCGATTTTTTCTGAATAATTTCTGAAATAACGTTAATATTTGGACGAAAATTGGTGTCTGGGAGTTTTTTGACATGAGAAATTTGATTTTGATTCAGTATGACTCTTACTAGTAGAGGGCGCCACCTACGTGTATTCTAACTGTTTCTAAGCGTAATAACTTTTTGGCCGTACCTGTATAAAACTACCGAGCAAAAAAATATACACCTCTGTGATTTTTTACGTAAAAAATATCTCGTTGTAAAAATCGCTACGAGCAACCGTTCTTAAGATATTTAGAATGGAAATAGTAAATACATGTCATTATTAAAGAAAAATAAACACGGTTGAGTAGATAGTTATTTCACTGAAATAATAAATTGGGGAAATTATTATTTTTTTTAATTAATGATAAATTTTTCTGCAAAAAATGATGATAAAACAGTTTCTGTTGAACATTTGGCACAAAAACATTTCAAATTTATGATTTGAGTCTAATAACTATTTAGTCAACATGTTTAATTTATGTCAATGATGACAGGTATTGATAATTTCCTTTCCAAATATCTCGAAAACCATTACTCGTAGCTATTTTTACCAAGAGACCTTTTTCGCGTAAAACGTCGTAAATGTGTATTTTTTCACTCAGTAGTTTTATACAGATACAGACGAAAAGTTATTACTCTTCAAACCAGTTAAAAAATATGTAGGTGGCGCCCTCTATTAGCAGGAGTCATATTGACATCAAAATCAAATTTCTCATGTCAAAAACCTCCAAGACACCAATTTTCATCCAAATATTGACGTTACTTCAGAAATTATTTGAAAAAAATCGAAATAAAAATGAAACTTCTACACCCTGTATCTCCGAAACTAAGCATTTTAGGTCATACATTTATACGAACTTTTTTACTTATTTCTATCTGCAAAATATGTTGCCGGAGTTTCCGGAATACAGTTCGGACCACCCTGTATATTAGCTATCACTGAAGAGAGCGAGGATCCCATCGGTAAACCATCAGTTTGAGCATAAAGCTTTTCTTTAACTTGAAAGTAAGAATTGAGCAGCGAATAAAAAAAATTAGAAAAGAAAGTCCTAAATTCTTTTAATTTCAAATATTTTATTGTTTTAGGTGTGGTGGTCAATGGAGAATGCAGACTTACGCTTAGAGTAATTATTAAAAATTAATTTACCTAATTCCATTTTGAATATTTTAATACTCATTCATGTTAGGTAAGACTGATCATTATACATTTATACATACTTTTTCTGTTTTACGTAAAATTTGGAGGTCACTTTTTAGGCTTTAGTCATTTTTATTTTATATATTTGATTACCACGCCTTTTTTCAAAGTTTTTTTTAAAGATATCCAGATTGTTTATTGTAATAGTCTCTCCGACCAAAAGATATATGACTTTCGCAGACGATACACAAAACATGACAAACAAGTACTTAAAATTTTTGCAATAAATTGACAACTACGATAAATGTCATATATTTTTCTTCTGGATAAGCTATACTTAGACATAGGACTATTCTAATAATTCTGCTACCATGTATTAGTAGAAAGCTACATATTTTATTATATATTTTTTAGTCTTCTGAGTTTTCTCTCTTTCATAGTTTCATTTAGGGTGCATTCCGTTGCTTACCTTGGTTATGGTTTTATGTTCCGTTTCTACCGCCCAAGTAGCATCTATCTGACTTCGAACTAAATCTGACCTGAAGCGACGTCAGACTTTGTGCAAATTTAGGTCGGGTGCTGGTGATACGACCGGTGACGTCGGCGTCGCTTTTCTATTAAAAGCGACGTCGTTGGATCCGAGTCGGTAAATCCAACGATCTGTCGACGTACACAATAACAACGTACCATTTTTATTAATTTCCCAACGTCGTTCCCACGTTGGCTTGCACGACGTACATATACTTGAACTAGCCCGACGTCTACCCGTTGTCCGAATAGAATACGTCTCACTGATAATCCCTAAAGTAACGTCCAATTATATTTTGTTGTATTTTATGTTCATATTTATAACCTAATTTACGTATCTCTATTTACGTCCGTAAATACAACCCATTAAGTAGCATTTGCGGCCTAATGAACATCATGAGCATAACCTAATAAAAAGTTTTTGTAAACAAACATAATTTTATTTTATTATGCCTAAAAAAACACTAAAAAGGCATTTAGACATTCATCTACATTTTACAAAAAGAGGTTGAGGCTTTTGCAAAATAATAATAATTGTAGTGATATCTTGCCTCCACCCACGAATGTTTTTTATCCGGAAGAGATGCTGCATTACACTGGTGCATCTTAATTTCATTTTTAAGCTTAGGAAACCAGCAGACCCCATCCTCCTCCCACATGTGAGGTACTGGTTCCAATTCTTTTAAATTTTGTATATATACTATCTTAAAAAAGTGGCTGCCCATTTTTTTAAGGAGAAAACAAAAACTAAAATATAGTTCCACAAATCCACAAAAAAAAAGTGAATGTGGTGTACGTTGGAATTATATACGTCATAATACGATTGCCGGTCGTCCGGTTTGAAGACTTCGGTCGTGTGAGACGATTAATGTTGGAGACCCAGTCGGAATTGGTATATTGGTAGTTCATGTTAAGTCGGACACAGAAATCCGCCATTCTTAACAAGTATCCGATTGTCAGCCATTTTAAAATCGTTTTTTGTTTTTAAAATTTATATTCACATTCCGATTTCTAGTAGAATAATATTGATAAGGTTGATTTTGGGGGGAACCACAATACAGTTTTATGATTAAACCAGCTAGAAAATAAAAAAAAATATTTTGCGAGTTACTTTTTTATAGATATTTTTATTTCATAGATCTACCTAATTTTGAAGGCGCTCGTTGTTTTCCGGAGTATTTTAATCAGATATATCAAAAAAGTGACTTCCGTTGACAAAACTGATGCCTGGATTAATGATTCAGAATTATTATAATATGAAATTAGGTAGGCACTTATAGTTATATTCGAGGAGTTATTATGAATCCATTTGTAATTAGGTAGTTTGGTTAGGTTTTATGTATTCTTGGTAGCGAATATGAAACCAAAAGTAACGTAAGTGCTTAGCGACGAAGTTTAAGTGACTAAAATCTAACGTAATATGACGTTGGTAATTGGTAGAATTACATTCCCTATTAGGTCAGATACCGACGTCGAGGCGACCCGAATCTGTATTCCCCATTTAGGTGCAAATACGGGTCGTCAGGCGGTCGAACCGACGTTGGTACCCGACGTCGGGTTTATTGAACGCGGCGGTTTTCTGAAAGTTTTCTTATTACGGAACACGGTTCCTGAAAAATTCGGTTATAACTGTCACCAAACTAACCAGCGCGAGAAGGCTGGTTTTTCTGGTTTTGTTAGTCAATCAATGTCATTTATGTGACAGAAATCAAGCAAATATTGGAAGTTCGAGTGAAATTGTCATTTAATTTCTAAAATTTGTAATATTTTGTATTTACATCCAAAAGCAATGGAGGTAGGCAGTAAAGGTAAATAAATTGCATTAACTGAATAGAATGACTTTTTAGTACCATTTAAATTTATCATGCAGCCATTGTTTCTTAAAGTCAGAAACATTTAAAGAAAACATGAAAAACAAGACAAGTAATCGTGAATGTTTTGTAAGCTATAAAAATATAAATATTATAAATATTGATTAGATTTGTTTATTTATTATTGATCTGTTTTAATATTGGACCTGTAAATCTTCACTTGAGCTGTCTAACGAGTTTAACAGTTTATTAATAAAGTACTTTTCAATATTAAACTCCATTGAAAAGAAGAAGCAAACGTAAAAGCAGAGAATAGGTACATTAAAAATGCATAAAGGATAAATTTTATAATAGAGGTATTGAAATTTAGAAAACGTCAACATTTGACGTTTCCAGTATTTTACCAAACCGTTCCGTATCAAACCGATGTTTTTCAGAACCGCTCTTTACCGGTCTGGTTACCGGTCTGGTTCGCCTGGTTTTGCAACGGAATACAGCCTTAATTTGTACGAAATTGTACAAAACATAACAGAGACAAAGACAACATTATCATGGTTCTAGTATTTATAAGCAGCTTTATCCCAAATGTATTAACATACAGAAGTAAGAGTTTTTTTCGGGATTTCAAAAGGAGTTAGGTAAAATTGTGAACCTTAGTAATAAGAGTTATGACTTAACTTCAACACTGTATAATGTAACAGGCTGCTGTGTTTATTTTAGTAATTCTTATTTCAATTTAAGAGTGTCAGAGTTTTATAATTTATAATGTAAATAAGTATAAGTTTTATATTAATTGTATATATCATTTTATAAAATAAACTCTTTTATGATTTACATAGTTTCTTTTCTTTGCTTACAAATGAACTGTCACTAATGTCATAATATATTTCGCCGCTGAACTTATTATTATTAATTATTGGCATTTTGATGTCGTAAAAGGCCAATATCGACTTTGAAATTCAGCAGAGAAATAGCAGTGCCTTATGAGCATTCTAGAAATTAAAAGGCAGTGTTTTCTACAATCATGATGAGCACAAAAACGAAACTTGCAGTGTACCGAGTAATCCTAAAAACAACCTAACCAACCTAACCCTAGGTTCCGTACCGTCGGCACATAAATGCATTAAACTAGTTGCAACAGAGACACCTTAAACAAATGGTACCAACGTATCTCAAACTTATTGGTCCTTGAAAAAGATGTGAGAGGGCTGAGGTCATGACTACTAAATTCCGCTTAAGATGGGCTGGCCACGTATGCAGGATGCAAAAAAACCGCCTACCGAAATCTCTTCTTTACGGTGAGCTTGTAGACGGTAAGAGGAAACCGGGTGGACAACTCAAGAGGTACAAGGATATTTTCCATGAAAATTTAAAGGGGATAAGCATGCAGAATCAGGAAGGAAGTAGGAAGCAGCGCACAATAGAACGCAATGGAGAAGAATTGTAAACTCAGTTAATAAAGACAACCAAAAAGTAAAGAGGCAAAGTAATGAGATTTTTAATATCCGAAGTGCGGAAGAAAGATCACATCACGTATCGGACTTTTCGGTCACAGAAAAGCTCATGAAGGAAAACGCCTTCAATCAAAAAAAAAATTCTTCCTTCTTCTTCTGATCAAATACTCGTCAGCGAGTAATGGCAGTAGTAGTAGTATTCAGGGATGGATGGGGGGGGAAGTGGAAACCGGCCCGGGAATAACAGGCAACCGGCCCAAATCCACGAAAACAAAATGACCATAACGAAGAAACATATTTTATTTATTAATATATAAGTAAGGATGTTTTCGCTCTTTTGCTTCCGATTTTTAAAAAAAATTGAAATTGTGTCAGGCTCAGTTTTACAGGGTTCTACTGCTTTATTTCCATTATTGATAAGGTAATTTGATCTTGAATAGGCTACGATTTTGAGTCACGATTTTGAGAAACTTTAAGACTTCCTGATTTATTCAGTTCAGCTGGCCCAATCCTCTGTGAAATACATTATTTTTAGTTTTTCAGGTATATACTTTCTTACACATTGTAGAAAGAAGTTCTCTCTTTTCTGGTAGAGCAGCAGCCTCGTCGTGTATACGTGTTTTTAATTGAAAGAACCGCGGTCGCCATTAAAACTGCAGCATTTTTAGGTTATTATATTAGTTTTTATCACTTTTTTACTTTTCTACATTGGACATCTTGTAACTCAAACGAAAAAAACCTAGACCTAGGCAGTGTATATAAATGTGTTCTGAGGTAATGCTATGTTACAGTCCATAACAAGAATATTTGGATTTTCCAGACATATTAATATTTTATCATCAAATCTAGTTTAAACCTTATTAACTCTTCTCTTCTGTCTCAGTAATTTTTAGTAAATTAATTTTAGCAACATTTTAAACAACAGTTTAGACTTAGCTTTTAGTTCTCAAGCATAGAGATAGCCATCACAAGTTTTCTCTGTCAACCGCAGAGTTCGCGTCAAATTTGTCAATCTTTTTACAAAGGGGAGCTCGTGCCGCAGCTTTTTCAAAAAAATATGCACCGAGGCCCCCAGTTGTCAATCTATGTTACCGTATTCTTAGTATACACTTAGATCGAGACTATTTAAATTTACCTAATGCTATTCATTTTTTTTCTGCTGCCAGTCAGCCATATTTATTGGTTATTAATAAAAAAAATACTGGTAAAACTATACAGGGTGAGTCTTAAATAAGTGCAAATATTTTCAGGGGTGGTATATTTCGACCCCAGGAACGCGTTTATAAGGTTTTTTTGCAAAAAAAATGTTAAAAATCGAGCATTTTCTTTTAAATTTTCCTCTATCTTTTAGAAAACTTTTTAGAACTTCCTGTTCACCGCAAATTTTCCCACGGTATAGTTTCTTAACCTCTGATATTACGGCACGAAAAGAGATGCAAATACCGAAAAATTGAGGTGGCTCATTTTTTTAAAAAAATAAATCTTTTTTTTTAATTTTCAAACTTTGATAACTTGGTTGGACTTATTTGAAACACGGTAAAGAGAATATATTATTTTTCTTTTATTGAGATCTACCAGCCCTGAAAATATTTGCACTTATAAAGCCACCTTGTATTTATGGAGTCTCTACGAATCTTACGTCACTTTAGTTAGAAGATCAACCATTTAAATTTTGCTAATCCAATCTTTTTTTGAGCTCTGATCGGGACCGGCCGGCCCATCGGCCACTCTTTCCACCGGCTCACCGGGAATTTTCCCGTTTTCCCATATGGCCCATCCACCCCTGGTAGTATTAATCAGCTACACACAAGAAATACAGAAATACGCTCACAAAAAGTTCATTTTATTACTTTACAAAATAAACATAAGGCATATAGAAAAATATTAACAAATCCAAAATATAAATTCAATTTTTAAAGATCGTCAAATACAATTTTTGTCATAAACCCTAACACAATAAGGTTTTTTATTTTTTTTATTAAAGTCTTTAATTTGGAAGTTAGAAAAATAAAATTTACAAAAAATGTAACAGGTTAAAAAATTAATCAAACTAATAATTTAAGTGTAAAATTAATTCGAACTCTAGTGTGTAGTTGGTTTACTTATGAAGAATATACTACACATTTTCTTATATTGCCATTTTTTGACCGCAAATGGTAAAATCATAACTAAGAGCTTCTCGCCCGTCGAGTGAGATGCACCCTGTACAGGGTGGGTCAAATTCGACGCTTTTAAATGGAAACACCCTTTTCTATAGGAGATAGACGAAAACTAATATCAGTGTCTGGAGCTCAATTTTCATCAAAAACGTAATGGTGAAAACCGCACATCAATATCTGTTATCGTTTCGGAGTTACGGGGTGTTTTTCAAAAATGTGAATTTTTAACAAATCGCTGTAACTTTTTTGCTATGGAAAATTTTGTATTTCTATGAAAACATTTCCAAAGCACCTTTTTACGTAGAATTTAATGGTTTAAATATAATTTTTTTAAAATTAATAATTTAAGAGTTATCAACAGAAAAATTTATTTTTTATTTGGGACACCCTCTATGTTTTTAATTAACTAAAAAGAATTTAAAATTACCTTTCCAAAAATATAGCACACTTGATATTTTGTAATAATCCCCTTCTAAATACAGAATTTTTAAAAGTTCACCACTTTTAACTAGTAGGCTTTGGACTCCTTATTGATGATATGCCCTTAATGGAACTCGAAAACATATTTTTCCAGCAAGACGACGCACCGCCTCAAAACGCTGAAGTTATCAGAAAATTTTTGCAGCCAATTTCAAGAATAATTGAATAGATAACCAAGATCCCAGTCGTCGAGGCCGCCTGACTCAGTGCCCATGGATCTAATCCTATGGATATATTTGCGGAAGAATAAAGGTTCCTTATTCTTCCGTATAATCTAAACAAGATTTAGAAATACTTAGCAGTTATGAGAGGGTATCTTTCACCCCCACTGAGTTAATGAATTCCGCGAGAAATGTTCAGAAACTGCCCCGTCTGTCCATAACAGAAGACGGTCGATATGTCGAACACCAGTAGCAAAATCTCATGTCTTGGTTTCCTATTTATTTTTATTGTTATTAGATATAGTTTAGATATAGAATATATTTTAAGTTGTTATAAAATTCTGCATCTCTCATAGCAAATATTATTTTCGTTTTAATTGATGCTCACAGCTAGAATTTTTTTGCATTACAGCCGGTGCCGTTCAAAGCCTACTTATTTAAAGCGGGCGAATTTTTATATACTCTATATCTCTGTTTTTAGAGAGGTATTTTAGATAACAATCGATATTTAGAAATGTTTTGACACCCTTGAAATACTACCACCGAGCACGTCATTGTTGCAACTTGCAACTGCGTAATACGCCTGGCGGTGACCGCCTCATACTCTTTCAGATATTTAGCAATAAAATAAAGAAACCTGTTATTTCAAGCTGAAAAAACTTGAACACAAATAAAGAGCCAGACTACTATTTCTAAACGTTACGTTTAAATGTCTCAAATCGCAACATCAACACCAATCAAACATTGTTCGTGTCAACTTCATCATCATCCGCCTCAATTAAATTTAACGAAACCAGAATGCAATCGAGATTCCTGAAGCACAACTCAGCAGGATCGTCCACTCTGATCATCTTGCAATGTTCCAGAACGCCTAGGTCCTCCACTTTGTAGAATTCTGACAGGAAACTGAACAGGTTGTCGTAGAGCATCCTCCGGCCGTCTAGGGACAGGAAGCCTTGCTTCTTGTAGCTGCACTCGAGGTACTTCTTGTATTTGCGGTTGGTTTTGGGCAGGACCTGAGTTTTGAGGACCTCCTCGATGATGCGCTTGTCGATGTTGACCTCCTCGATGCACTTGAGTGCGATCAGGTTGAGCTGTTCTTCGGAGGGGTGTTGGAAAGCTGGTGGTGGTGCCATCTAATAACAAAGAATAATATACAGGGTTGTTCACCACATACGACACGGAGTATTGTAGCTAAACGATGAGATTTTTACAAATTGTAAGTCTTGGGTTCGATGAAGGACTATTATAGGTACATTTTAAAAATAATTTTACAAGATACAGAGTGTCCCAAATAAGTAAAAAATATCAAAGTTGTATTTTTTTAAAGGGAACACCCTGTATATTATTGCATTTTTAGTTTCTACGATTAAAATAAAGGTAAATTTGATTAAGGTTTATTATACTTAAACCTTACCGTTTTTGAAATATTTTCAATTTTGTGAAATTGCAGTAAAAATTTTAAGGCTTCATTTCTCCAAGGGTACCAAAGTTTTTAATACTAAATATTTACTGAAGTTTATTTATTGATCAGTTATTGTGTTGCAATAATAAAATAATACTACCTTATACAGAGTGTCTAAAAATTTATTTTAAATAATTATTAGCTTCAAACGGCAATAACTTGTTTAATTTAAATGGAACACCCTGTATATTTTACGAGAATCAGATGCACAATTTAATTGTCTATCAAATTATATTATACTATTTTTACCTATCTCTTTAAGTTTCCGTAGAAAATGCATTTTCTTGTAATTTAGAATTTATTTATCAATATACCCATGGAATATTGACATTTTAGATTATTTTTAAAGATGTACCAAATTTTTAAAGAGTACAGATACTAATATTGTGGATATAATTCGTTTATTTCATTAAAAAATAAAAAAAAACTGTTTAAATATTTGTTAAAAAGGACCAATTAATATGATTCCAGTATTCAAACTACATTTTGAGTGCAGTCAAACTGACTGCATTGATTAATAATAATTGTTCCAAATACTAAAAAAACTGAATTTTGTATGGGTATTAGACAGTGTGATAAAAAGTAACACCTTAAAAATGATATGTCATTTTTTAATAAATGGTTATTTATAACAACAGAGACTTTAATTTTGATAACTTATTATTATATTGATTTCTGACTCAAATCCACATTTATTTAGAATAATTTATTAACGAATACAATTAAGTATGTAATTAATTAGTATACGGGCGGAAATAATGGTGCTATATTTAATTAATGGTATACTCTTTTATAAAGATTCAAATAGTTTTCTTTTTGCATACAACATTATTGTTTTTAGCAAAACGATAATGTTACTAGAATGTCAATATATGATATAGTATATGAAGTGTGTATTCCATGAGTGTTTATTCCATGAATGTCAATAATAAAATGTCAATATTCCATGGGTATATTGATGAATGAGGTCTAAATTATAAGAAAATGCATTTTCTATGAAAACTTGACGGGATAGGTAAAAATGGTATAGTACAATTTGATAGACAATTAAATTGTGCATCTGATTCTCCTAAAATATACAGGGCGTTCCATTTAAATTAAACAAGTTATTGGCGTTTAAAGCTATAAATTATTTAAAATAAATTTTTAGATACTCTGTATAAGGTAGTATTATTTTTATTATTGCAACACAATAACTGATCAATAAATAAACTTCAGTAAATATTTAGTATTAAAAACTTTGATACCCTTGGAGAAATGAAGCCTTAAAATTTTTACTGCAATTTCACAAAATTGAAAATATTTCAAAAACGGTAAGGTTTAAGTGTAATAACCCTTAATCAAATTTACCTTTATTTTAATCGTAGAAACTAAAAATGTAATAATATACAGGGTGTTTCATTTAAAAAAATACAACTTTGATATTTTTTACTTATTTGGGACACTCTGTATCTTGTAAATTATTTTTAAATTGTACCTCTAATAGTCCTTCATCGAACCCAAAACTTGAAATTTGTAAAAATGTAATCGTTTAGCTACAATACTCCGTGTCGTATGTGGTGAACAACCCTGTATGCAGTGACTAGCGGAGAGTTGCAATTTTAAATGGGAATCTACTAAAGAATGAAATCGAAAGAAATGATTTTTTGGATTGTTTGGTAATATTATTCTAATGGATGTAATATTAATTAAAAGTTGTTTATCAACAAACTCGATGAGCGTCTTCGTCAAAGGTCAAGATACAATATGAACGCACAAAAAAATATTTAGCGATGTACAGGGTGGCGCCTCTTATACGACGCGGAGGCTCCAAGGAGACCGAAACCGACAGTTTGTATTGATATGTAATTTTGTGTTGGGTGTAAGTTAATTCAGAGCACTTTTTGAAAATATAGAGAGTTCTACAGGGTGTCCCCAAAAATAGTTATACATCAAAGTTGTGTTTTTTGTAATTGAATACTATATATATCATTTTATTTTTGGATTCTAGGAGAGAAATAAAGGTGAGTTTTATTAGAGAAGTATATTACTAAAATGTAAAGTTTTTGACTTATTCAACATTTTCTAAAATTGAAGAACAATTTTTAAATTTCAATAAAAGCTACCTAAATTATAATTTACCTGGTATAGCCTAATATGTAGTTAAAATAACTATTGTATTTTTTTAAATTGAATTAAAACTTGATGCATAAAGTTATACAGGTTGAATGTTCCAGTTAAAACAAAAAAAAATCTCAGAAATTTGCCGAAAATGAAAACTTATCATAAATCAAAAAGCATTGATATGATTTTATTAGTTGGTGACAGTGTACTAATTAATAGAATACTTAAATGCTCCTGATTTTATCTAGTCTGGTTTTTTTTATTGGGATATGTTAAAGACAGTGTTTACAAACTCAAACAACTATTGTCGACAACATAACATGAGAGAAATGATTGTGGCTGTTTTTGAGGTTTCGAATTCTGTGATAATTAAAATATGTTTCAAACGTGTATTTTTTTATTACTGTGTTTTAGTCTACGTCCCTTTATTTTTGGCTAATAAAAACCGAAAGGTATATCACAGCCACCTAGATTTTTTTTCAAATAATAAAAATCTACTGACGCAAAATCATAAAAATTTAGGTTTTATGTATTTAGGTAGGTAGGGAACCTTAATAATATTTTGAAGATATATGAATTCTCCATTGAACACCGGAGTAATATACTGGGTGTTCTATTTAAAACAAAGGAGTAACTTGTTTTTAAAAGTGACTAATGTTCAGTATTAGTTTTGTCTCACCCTGCATAACCTTTCGGGTCAAATTTTAATTTAGTTTAACATGTGATGGTTATTGTAAGTAAATATGAGACAATACAGGGTAAATTACAATTTAGATAGCTGTTATTGAAATTTAAAATTTATTCTTCATTTTCACAAAATGTGAAAAACACGTCAGCTACATTTTTAGCTACATATGCTTCTTTAATGAAACTCGCCTTAGTTTTTTTCCTAGAATCCGAAAATCAATTAATATATAGGGTGTTCCATTACAAAAAAAAAACAAAACTTTGATGTGTAACTTTTTTGGAGACACTCTGTATAACTCTATATATTTTTATATAATGCTTTTTATAGAATTAACCTACATATGCTCCCAAAATGTCATTTGGATATAAACCACTGTTCTCCTTGGAGCCTCCGCGTCGTATGAGTGGCGCCACCCTGTATATTATAATTTGAAATAGTTATTATTGTTTATTTTAAAATTCCATTTCCGAGAAACAGTATAAAAATATTAATGAGTGTAGTAAAATGACGACGTTAATATACATATCAATAAATTATTTAATAGGTATTGTTTATTTGAAAAAATCACTTCTACTTATTAGTAGAGTTAAGACAAATATATAATTATTATATCTATACATTACTAAAAAGACGACGTTAATAGCAAAATATCTAATATATATAGGTATTGTTTATTTTAAATAATAACTTCTACGATAATTGTTTTGAGTAGTTTATTAACTTTTTTATTTTGATTTTTAGAATTTTCATAAATTATACTTCCTATCACTTTTAGAATAATTATACATATATTCAATTTTTCGTATACTCACTATTTAAACCCGTGTATTTCTAGTTATCTACGATATTCCCCGATGGTGGCAGCACCGGCGGAGAATGCACAAAGCTTATACAGGGTGTCCCAGAAATAAGTACAAGTATTTTAAGGGGTGGTAGATTTCGATAAAAGAAACATATTTTAGCTTTATCGTTTTTCAAGTACAAAATAACGGAGTTATTTTACTTTGAAAATTTAAAAAAAAAATATTTTTTGCTAAAATTTTGAAAACTACCTACCACGGGGGTGTCAGGCAACAGTCAAATTTAAACGTGCCAGGATAAACGACAAAGAAAGCAACATCTGCCAGGCGTTGGCTTTCTTTGTCACTCACTCTTAAACCACTCAAATAACAGCTTTAAATGTCTTGATCTATCTATCAGCCGCCAAAGTTTAGCGACATTAGACGTTGTTGTGGTTTGGACAGGTGAACATAAAGAAAAAGGGAGAATATTCTTTTATAAGCCTAATAAATAAAATCACTAATGAAAGGGACAAACTTTTAATCCCAGAACATGTTTTTATCACCAACAATTTCCAATCCCCAAGAGTACCTAGAAGAAGCACTTGTGTTCTTGAAAAAGTACCGTTGGATATACACCACAAAGAATACAAGGATACTTTGCGATCGTGTTTTAGACAATATTCCCAATGAATGGATTGCTTATTTTGCTACTGCTAATCACCAAAATATCCTAGACATTTTATCTAGAGGAACTAATGTGAGTTTCAGTATAATTTCAAAACACAAAATATTACAAGGATTTTTTATTACTATTTTCTGTATTTTTAGGATAGTTTAAGAATGTTTTTTGATGATCTGCATCAACTAAAACTTAATAGCGAAGAGTTTAATAAAACTGAGCCGCCTGTATTTAGATACATAGGAATTAGCGATAAGAAAATGCATGAAATATTTTTGTTAGCTCCTGTAGTAGATGAATTGTGCAGAAAGACGAATTGTGATTTGGTTGTTGACATCGGATCAGGCTCGGTGAGTTTATTTTTTAGATATAGATTTATTTTAGATTAAACAATTTGGAGCGATCAATAATAATTGAAATATACTCACCGGCACGAAAAACGGACACTTTTTAAGTTTTTTTTTCAAAGTTTAATATCGTCGGTGAAATGTGATAAACTGTTAACTCCATTATTTCTAATTTTACAGGAGAGCAAAAAAACGGTACAAAAAAATATGTACAGTGTGTCTCCTTTTGGTTGAAATCATAGGGTATCTCCGTTATTAGTGAAGATAGAAGGGTGTGGTTTGCACAAACCTGTCCCACTTTTTCGTGAAACGGAAAATGCTGCAAACAAAATTTTCATAGCCCTCTTAGTTTCTGAGCTACAGGGTCTTTTCGAAAATGTTGCAATTTGGGGCACCCCCTGTATCTCTGTTATTGTTAAAGGTATCGAGAAGGCGAAAACTGCTTATTGTAGAACTTTTTACGCAGAATACAGTGGCGTAGTCTGTTTTACTACGAAAAAAATATTTTTGAAAATATGAACTAAAGTTATGTTTTTTCAAATGAAACACCCTGTATATTTATAAATCATATGATCTGTCTTGCTATGAGCTTCTCAAAAATATATATCACTCTATATTTATTTTCACTATTTACTGCAATATTTAAAATATATCATTTTCTTATTAGTAGGTCGTGATAAATAACAAAAAATCAAACTGATAATTACTAAAATAGTCATACACATATTAAAATTTATTTCGGATTGATATATTTTGCTTTTGAAATAACTGTTACCACTGAACCTGTGAATATATTTTTCTTTTTTTTTTATAACGGAATGGGTTTGCAAATATCTAAAAGTTTGAATTATTAAAGCATTTTTCAGGTGTTCAACATTGTTGTAGTGCCCACGATATATTTCGTATTTCAAAAATCCGCAAAATCAGAAATCGAGAACGGAAAAATCCGGGAATCGAGGAGGCTATAAATATGTGTTCATTGGTTCCAATTCATTGATTTGAAAAATAATAATTTAACAGTATTCTAATATTTTCATGAGTTATGTTCCCCATCTTGTTGAAAGTATATTTCACGTAAATTAGCTAAAGGAATATCTAAAATTTCCGATACGATAGATTATTCGTACGTATACACATATTCCAAGATTTACAAATAGCGGTAGGGAGTTAAGTTTCCCTAATATATAAAGAATTTATTAGCGGCTCCCAAAATAAAATAAGAGACAGATTCAAATTCAAATTCAAATTCAAAAATCTTTATTTCTAGAGTGGTACATAGTTTTACAAATTATAATAAAATATAAATAGTAGTAACCTAGTTACCTAATCAGTAATATAATTTATACAAGTACGTGAATTCATAATAGATATCAATATAAATATTTTACAAAATAGCCTTTGCTGTAATTTGTTTAGAAAATTTACACCATCGGAATTTGACACCTACCAATATTTTAATTGTAGGTCAAAGTGTAAATAATGTGTTTATAGAATGTGGCCATTTATTTAAAAAGATGTGGTGTATTGATTTTACCTGTTTTTTTTAATTTTGTTCTAAATAACTTATTACCATTTAATATTTTTGATATTTTAACCTCACTATTACTACCATTATGCATATTACATTTTAAATAAATATTGAGACACCTAGGTTTCTATGTAAAACCCAGTGTCCATTGCTTAGCTTTTCCTTAGACTATAAAAATTAATATATTTGCAATTGTCTTACATCTAAGTAAAGATTTGGTTAATTAAACTTAATAACCACAAAATGAATCTAGCTATAATTTACTTAATAACTAGGATAAAAATAGCGTAAATAAAGGAAAGGTAAATACGTAATCCGAACGAAGTACAACAA